ACGTTTAAAGAGAGCTGCCAAGTGCAAACTTAGATATTAAATACAAGAACGAATGATACCTTCTACAACTTGGTGACTGAATTCGTGTCGGTATGAATTCTCTTGAAATATCATCTGGTTTGAAAATTCAAAATATGAGGGGAAATCGTGATTAAGATACTCTTAATAATTTTTTTTTTTTTGCTATCGTGTTGCGTGAAGCCCAAGCGGGGCGTGCAGATCAGGATGCAGTTTTAAAGCTACTGACATTTTGGTTCTTTGACTGTCTGACGTGAACGTCATTAATTAAGTTTGACCTTATCAAGATTCTGCTGGTAAATGCCAGGCTGTTTGTTGTTCTCCATCTTCAGGAAATTGGGCGGTCTTTTGCCTAGCATATTAGTTTTATTATCCCGACGAATTAGTATTACATCATGATATATTTGACGCTTCATTAGCGAACTTCTCATTTACTTCATCATTACTTCTCTTTTGAGATGCATTACTTTATAAACGATGCTATGTAAAAAATAATACTTAGCTCATTTGAACAATCGTGAAACTTGAAATAATTATTAATTCATCTGAGCTTTTGATTTGACTCCTCAAAATTTGCATATGTTTAACTTATAATAATTATTAAGACTCGTCAGGCTCATGTGAATAAAATAATAATTATTCACAGCGTAAATAAGTTACAAAACTTTTCTTCTCTCTCGAATGAACAAGCTTCTGATGTATTATTTGTTAGTTTGATATAATATTTAGAGTAATTTCAGCACCATGAGTCTTGTGGCTTGAAGCAACGCAAGTCAACGGTGACGGCTTTCAACATTTTTCCCGCTAAAGCTTCAGAAGATAGAAGTTCATTATGCACGACCACTCTCATTTCCTCATTGTTTATGGATGACGTCGTCCAAATATTCTGATCCTCTTAATCTTATGAATTTCAAATGCTAATCCATGAAACAGAGGAACGAAGACCTATGTGGTAGCTTGGGCTCTCGGCTGACTCTTTCTTGGGACCTTTTGTGATGCATGGATCATGGAACGCACGGAAGAAGGCGGCTTTTCTTTCATTTATGCTTAACGAGCTTTCTTTGTTCCAAGGATGATTCTAAGCAAAATAAAACAGCTCAATGTCACAAACCCGACGAAAAACTGGCTTAATATTTATGGAGAAATATTTTCTCATGCTTCATAAGAGTTGGATACATCATGAGTTTGCAGTATTTTGCTCGGTTACCAAATGCTTATGAAACTTTTAAAATTATCCAGCTGTTTCGAAATGTTATAATCTCTCGTATATCTTAATAATTTGTACTTTTTCTAGACATTTTCCTATATTTAAATCAATGCGTAAGTGCATATTTTGTCTTAATTCAATTCTTGTGGCGTCTCCAGAAATTTCCGGTACCATCTTCTTGAAATTTCCGGTGAACTGCTGCTTCTTTGGTCATGAAGAACAAATACTTGCAGTTCAAATTTATATTTTTACATTTTCTATTTCAAAGTTAAAGCTTTCAAATAAAATTACTTGGTAGTTTTCGTACATACAAAATGTCTTTACCATTCGAAGACATTATACATTTTTCCAAATACATTATCCCTACATACATCCTTCACTCTTCCAATATACCATGTTTCGTCTGTGTTTAGTAATATGGGGTAAATAATTTTAAATTATTATTTTGTTATGGACTTCTAAAAACCAGATCGTTTGAATCGTATTTTTCCAAAAAGCCTATGATTTGGTAATTTGTACTCTATACCTTATCTTTTATTCTTGAAAATATTTCAATACATCACATTTGTAATCGTGCGTGTTTTGAGTAAAAGTTTCTGAAGTTTCCTCTTCGAGGTCCATTTTCCTGTGGGAAGCTGAAGGTTTTTCTTTGAAGGGAAATTGCGGACGTCTTTCTTGAGACGCTCGAGGGTCTCCATCATAATCCAAGTTTGAGGATGAGGCGATGTTGTCCCTTGTATTGCTGCTCAAATGGGCCTCAACTGCAGAACTTTTGCCGCTTCCTTCTGCGCTCTGACGCCCATTGATGAAATAGAGACAACGAATCTCGACCGCATCTGCTGCGAGCAGCAACTAACTCACGTCTAGTATGTAGCTGACAAAACTTTTTACTTTATTTGCCTCAGTATTACACGCACCCTATTATTCAATTTATCTATCTTTGTGTCGGCAAAATCATTTTTGCGAGCAAATGGTCGCTGTGTTCGCAACAATTCTTTTTCAACATGAAATTATCTATCATTATGAAATCTTTGGTATTCTTTTACAACTAAGATTGATTGTAAATTCTTATGTTCTAAGACACGAATAATGATCAACTTAGGTGATCATAATCCTCTAGAGCAAAGTAACGAACTTTTCATCCCTACTTGCCGCCCCGCGATTAAAGTCTTCGACGAGTGCCGCCTGAGTTGCAGCTAATCTGATTCAAGACATTTAATCAATAAGGCTCCCTCCAGTTAATCTGATACAGTTGTTAATCAGACTAACAAGATTCCGAAGCCTCTCGATCGTCTTCAAACGCAGGCCAGAGGCCGGGATCTGCGTCAAGAACAGAAGACTGCGGTGAGACTTCGGCGCGTGCCACCCTCGTCTTCAGACGCAAGTCAGCCCCAGTGGCGGGGCGACGTAGAAAAGTTATTAAAATCTGAAAAATTTGTCATCTTTTCCGGCCTTCAAAATATGAGGACTCTCACATTCTATGACATTTTTGCCCCCAATCAAATTTTTAACTAAGATTTCAGTACGGAGTAAAATAATGTCCATAATCTAATCGCATTGCCCAACCTAGTATATTGGAAACCTTTGATTGAGCAGATGGAGGTATTTTTTTAAGGCATTAAAACAAACCTTGTATCGTTTCTATTCTTTATATATCAAATATTTTCGTTAATTTTTAATTTTCGTTTGCAACTAAAAATAGTGTTAAGCTTCTCATAACCGTGCTAATCTGCTGCACCTTACACTTTAATAACGGCAGTACGACCGATGGTCACGGAATTACTTAGCAAGGTTACCCTGCGTCTACGAAGCTTCTATTCCTACTCTCTAATTCCAGTTACATGCAAACTATAGTCTAGAAAAAATGTAGATTTTACATTCTTTACCAGATATTCTCAATTAAGTTAATCCTTAATGAGGGAGGCTGTTTTACGTTACGTATAGTCGGTATAGAGCAGTTCCGACTTGCGTACCACGGTATATTAGAAAAATATTAGTGTTTACATCAGAGCAGCTTCAGTGAAATAACATCAGTGAGTGTCACTAAAGTATCAAACATTAATATTGCTGTAACTATTCAAGACAAACATTTTTACCAAGGAATAGGAGGACCTTAATTTTCAATATTATATATTTTGACCCATTTTAAATATTTTTGTTGGGTAAATATTTATAATTCAATTTCATTTTATATGAAATTTCATTCATATGGCTTGATTTTATAATATTATTAATACTCCTTTACTTTTTGTTCATATTATTATAAAATTATCATTCGTAACATACGTATTATTTTTCAGCAATCAAGAGAAAAACTACTGGGCCTGTTATTCTTGCTCTAAGTCGGACACGTTGCAGCTTGTCCCGCTTTATGACTTCGCTTCTATCGAAAACAACAGCTTCCCTCATTATTCCGCGAATTTGAACGCACTGACTGGATGCAAGTGTAAACCATGCATAAAAATAAAACAACTTTTCCGATGCATTGATGACAGCATTTGATCACGTACGGTCGTAATCCGTGACCGTTGAAGCTTCGCTAGTTATAAAAGATAGGCGTTTCATTAAAAAAAAGCGTTGCGTCGGGTCATAAAGCGCGGCAAAGAACAGCCGACGGCTAATATCGCACCGCCGCCGCATTTGCCTAATGAAACGACCCTTCCGTAATCTCAGGTTGCTGCTTGTGGGGCACTTACACAAACTTGACTTCAAGGAAGCTTTCAATAAATTACGAACTTATCGTTCGTGTTACAGCATCCCAAGAGAGCGATAAACTGCTCGTATATCATCGTCACATTTATGGGTAATCGTTTACTATCGAGATACTTCTGGTCTACGGGGAATATAAAATCGTTAATAAGCTCACGGTCAAACACATCATTAGTTAGAAAATAACTTCACCTTGCAGGACAGTCAGTCTCACGAGGCCACTTTGTTTCATTAGCTCGCCAGCTGAGGCCAGTTTATTTAATGTTTCAGGCAATCATCAATCATTGCTGGAGCTCTGTAATTTGCTTAATTCAGGCACCACGAGAGACGTGATCCAATGCCTTCCTGTGAACTGATCAATCACAAGCCTCAGTATTAAAATGTTTCTAAATTGAGAGTGTTTATTAGTATATGATTATCTGAAGTATAGACCTAATTCTAGTTAATATAATGACGAAGGTAATTTGCCATTTCAACAACCTCCGTAAAAAAACTGGTATGCCAGTTATTATTTTCAGACGCGCATACTAAGAGCAGACCGAATTAAGTTCTAATAAAGTTATTATCTTACACATTCTGTGAAGCAGGTAACTTATTTTAACTCAGATTAGCTCACGTTTTATAAGATCATGGATAGGCTAAATAACTAACTAAATCAAAATAATTTCTAGCACTTGTGATTGCTTCATTTGCAGTGGAATAGATACTCGTATAATATAATATAAAGATACTCGTATAATATCATGAATTTCTAATGGATTATTGCTCTGGACGATGGCTAATTGGATGGTCATTGAAAAATATCATGTTTTTCCGTTCAGCAAAAGGCGTTCAAATAAAATATTTTATGTCAATAATGTAGGATGCGAGTTTAATAATAGAATATGCGGAGAGTGACTCTGATTAACGTGAATTACATATCCATATTTAAATTTATTTTCAACTCTGATGGTGGAAGTTTTATTTCCTGATTGAAACGCAATCACAAATAAATTAAAACAAAATTCCTGACTTCTTCATGTATATATATATTTATATAACCCTCGAACGTTAATCCTGCCATCAGGGGACTTAGACTCTTCCCACCGCGGTCCCCGCACGCCCGTGGACGGGGCAGGCGAGGAAGAGCGTGGGGACTTCACAGGAGGCAGCGACACGTCCCAGTTTACAAACCCTAGCCTCCTGCCTCCCGACTACTACCCTCCTGCATACTCCAGCAGCTCTGGGGACCACTACGAACACCGCAGAGCGGCGGGCACTCGGCGCGTTCCTCCGTCCGTGTCGTCGTCCGATAACAACTCGGACACGACCTACGCCGAGAGCGCAGACATCAACTCCAGCCTGCGCGCCCGCATGCACGCTATCGACAACGGTCAGTCACGTTTGGTCCTTTACGTTAGGCTTAAGTCCTTTACGTTAGGTCCTTGAGTCCTTTACGTTAGGTAATTAAGTCCTTTACGTTAGGTCCTTAGATCCTTAGGTCCGTTACGTTAGCTCCTTAATTAAGTACTTATCCTTAGGTCGATAGGTCCTCTAGGTTAGGTTTTCAGGTTCTTTACGTTATATCATCAAGTCCTTTACCTTAGGCTCCCACAAATCGCGCAATTCCAGTCAGTGCAGCTTGCAGTCGAGTGAGAATATGGTATGTTAAATCTCAATGTCAGATATATTCGGCCCAAAGTCGCCCAACATTCCATGTATATTACCTGTTGTTGTAAAATGTTTGTAGTTAAAGAAAGACGTTGCGGCTCCCACGCAGTGTAGTAGGCAGATCATACGAATAGAATACTGGTAATTTCTTTAAACTTTAATACCAGGTATCCTCATCGTAATCATCGAGCGATTTAAACAGCTGCTATATTATGCCTTCAATCTAGAACTTCGTGTAGTTTTTTCCACGAAATGAAAAATCTTTTACGTTTGCGTAAAGATTTAAGCCTAGTAATCTTTGCTATGAGCTTCAAAACCCGTGCTGAAAAGTAAATTTTTATCGGCCTACTGCGCTGTACGCTAAACTTGCTGAAACTTTTTATTTGATGGCGGAGTGATCGCTCATGGCAACCATTCACTTGCAATTATACTTGAAATTGATGAATGCGCGATACCACCAGGAAGAATCCTGATATCTAACGTAATGAAAACAAAATACATTTACCGCGAGGTAGAGCCGAGCCACTCAATAGAGAAATGAAGCCTTACATTTTATTAGCAAAGAATAAATAATTTCACATAATATAATATTTGAGAAATTATGGCAATGAACGAATTATCCCAATATTTGCACGAGGAGCAAGGCATAATTTGATGACGGTGGTATATGAGATATAGGTAATGAAACTGGCACATCTAAGCCTAAGGGGAAGCTAAATAAATGAAGTACACAACAACACAAGCATGAGAACATGAAGCATGAAGCAATAAAGCATGAGGTAACTCAAAGCCCAAAAAGCTGATAAAGTGAAGTAAATCGAAACGTATATATACTGAGTTAATTAAATGAATTGAAGGTCGATGTATTGACACCATGAGGTCCAGTGTAATTCTAGGCGCGGATTAAAGTGAGGTAAAATAAATCATGATATTTTGAGACCATGAAATAGAGCTAAGCCTGAAAAGCCGAGACCATGAGATCAGGCTGGATACTGAAGAAATTGAAGCAGAAAAAGTATCTGAATATTGAGACAACAACTTGAAGCGAAACCCAAAGCAATGAGACACTGATATAGAGTGAGACCAGGAGGTAAATTGAAGCCTAAAGCAGTAAGGCCAATAGGTTATGTGAAGCCTTAAACCGTGAGACCATCTGATAGATTGTAGCCTGAAGCAGTGAGACCGCAAGGCAGAGTGAAGCCCTAAGTATGAGACCACGAAGCAAAGTGTAGTCTGAAAGTCTTAATATGTACAAAGTACGTAAGGCGAAGTAAGAAATATAGATCGGGTTTGTGTTCGCTTGGAAGGAGAGCAGCAAAGGCGTATGAGCAGCGATGTGACGGGGCATAAAGTACGCCTTTGTACTTAGCAAAGGCGCCGCGGCTGGCAAGGAGCGTAAGGCGCTCCGGGTAGCGATAAGTCCAAACAATTTGTGAGCGCCGGAAATTTGATTACAAATTTATGACAAAATTCTGCGCCGCACACAAGCTCGTCGTCGGCGATGAGATCACAATGGAAATATCTCTTTGAATCTAGAAAATTTTATGGGCTCAACGGTCTGAAACTGCATTGCACACGAGTGACAATATTTCCTCAACAATTTGTGCGGTTCAAGTCGATTTTAAATTATTAAAATGGCCTTGGTAACTTGAACACTTCATGTGGATAGAAGTAAACAAGCAGAAATTCATTTTAAGAAATAAAGAAACAGCTTCGCCTCTTCCACCTTCTTGTTGTATAGTAGGCATTCAGCAATTTTCACTCTAATGAACAACTTTGAAGTAAAAGTTTTATTACTCTCTTCATTTTTACCTGGAGAAGTCTCATAAGTTTCTCGATCTTGCCTGCATTTAAAGTTTGATAGTGTGGTGCAATTATTTTCCATTACAAATTGAGAATCTTTTTGCGCCTTCAAATCTCACTTAGCAAAGGCATGAGCTCACCGGGGAAAATTCTGGTCGAGAATTTCATGCCATGTCCAATCTTTTATTAAACGCGTCAGTTCCAGTGCTGGTCATGTGGTGCATGAATGCTTCCTTGTATTTTTTAATTCCACAGGTTTTGATGTATCTAAAACCAAATGAATTACTAAAAATCTTTCTGATCGGCTTCGTTAAATGTTAGAAGTATTTTCCTGAGAAGGATTGATTCGGAAAATTTATTTAATATATAACAGCTAAATTAGCAACACTTTTTATTTCTAGGTCAATTTATTACCAAACGAGGCATGAAAAAACATTAATTTATTGGGGTTTGAGCGTACAAACTGACCGACCGATACGTATGCGTCTAAAGAGCGATCAATGAAGTCGCAGAGTGCTCATGGCAACCGTGTAAAACGTCAATAAAATGCTCGCTCCACAGTTTATTTCTGTGTAAAAAATTACATTCATTACCACATGATGGTTGGGTCTATCCGACATGAAATATACATATTTTTCCTATGAATGTTGAAAGCATTTCTCAGGTACTATAAAAATATGTCGTCCAAATTCATAAAACCTCTACCAAATTAGTCTATCGTATGAAACAAATTTGTTCACGTGAAAATCACAGGCAAGTTATTTATCCTCGTAAAAAATCCTCGAGTAAAGGAAATTACGCTTTGACTTCTGCTCCTAAAACGAGTAAAATTTACGAGAGTAGTTTCCCTCTTCTAGTTTTTGGTAATTTAATTCGCTTTGATAACTGGTGCCTCGCGCCTGAATCCTCGTGCGAATTTACCAAAAACTTTTATTTGAGCATTCAGCGTCTCGCTAACTCTAAACGAGCTTGAACCCTCTAAAGAATTCCAGTTACTGAGATAATTCAGTGGCCAAACACCTGATTGAAGTGCAGGACAAAAAGTGCGTGAAAACAAGTCGAAGGTAAATTCGGCGCAGCGAGACGAAAAGAATGTTGAAATCTAGGAATTGGAAAGCCAATGTGGAAGAAAATATATTACAGGACAGTGCCTCGGGCCCAGCAACTCGGTCTCAGCCCGCCTCAGCAGTTCTTTACGATTTTGTTTACTTGCCAGACCAATGCGGGAATTCTTTGTTTTGCTTCTTGAGTGGTGAAATAGAGCAAAAATCTAGAGTTGAAAAATGCCGCCCGTGTTGCCGTCATTATGCTCTTCTAGTGCTACCGCTGCGGCTGCTACAATGTTTTGGTAAAGCAGGACTGAAGAGTTTACGTTTAATAAGAACAATCATAGATGATCTGAACGAACTTGTAAGCTGAAAAGTTAATATAACGCTGCAACTCGTGCAAGATAAAAATGCATTTGCTTATAATTGTAAGGTGTACTTCTGTCGAAACAATTTACACTCAGTGGATGACAATATATTACATGTAAAAACTTATTATAAACATTATGTGCCACGCTGTTACAACTTTTTTAGCAACCACTATTTTATTCGACATTAACCAGCACCTAACCTCTCAACTATATAGTGTTGAACTTTTTCACTAGGTTATATGATTTGCGATGATAGAATGGTGATTAGCGTCCAACTGATAAGCTTTAATGATTGACCGCGACTTGAAACTTTGTTGTGGAAACGCATCATATATAAGCCAAATTGTGAAATATTTTATGTGTATGAAATAAATGTTCTTTATACACAGAATTACCACAAAAATCCAGATTTGCCGTTGAATTATGAGGGGCATGCATCTAACTAAACCATTAGATAATTCGGACCGGAGTAAGATCACTAGTTGCTGACATGCAGAAGTTTCAGATGAAGTTTAATGTTAAAAAATACAACTCGGTACTCACTGCAGTGAGTGACAGAGAACGCATTTTCTCGTCGACGAAAACTTGAGGTCACGGACGGACGGACAGACAGACGGACAGACAGACAGACAGACAGACAGACGGACATGGCGAGCACAATAGTGCATTTTTTCCTTACATGAGAAAATGCGCTAAAAAGCGAATCAACCTCAATGAACCATGGAAGAAGAGTTCAATAGGCAATGAAATTTAAATGTTTCTTCATAAAACTACTCGATATTTCTTCTGCAAACTGTATGCTTTCGAGCTATCTACTATTTCGAGTTTTTAACGTTAATTCTAATGCCAACTAATTATGGATCTGAATCTGAAGCGCACCGTAACCCTATGCGTTGTTGCATTGCCCTTATTCTTTTTTATGCGTGTGTACTGCAGCTTCACATTTTTTGAGTTCACTTTTTATACTATTGCGAAGAGAAAATAAAATATTATAAATAAATTAATAATTGAATAAATAAAAAATAATATAAGATAAAATAAATATAAAACACTTAATACGTTTTAAAATTCTTTTTAGCGCATTTTCTCATGTATGGAAAAAATGCACTATTGTGCTCGCCATGTCCGTGTGTCTGTCTGTCTGTCCGTCCGCCCTTCCTTCTGTCCGTCCGTCCGTCCGTCCGTCTGTCTGTCCGTCCGTGTCTTCACGTTTTCGTCGACGAGAAAATGCGCTCTCTGTCACTCACTGCAGTGAGTACTGCGTTATATTCTTTGAAGCATTGTCAAGAATTAAGCCTAAATGAAGCAGTTTCCCGGTCAGATTTAGCAGTGACACCGCCAGACCCTGCGCCGCCTGAGGTGCCACCACGAGGTCCTTCTCATCACCACCCGCTACTGACCGCCCAGCGCAGAGCTGCTCAACAGGCCGCCGCTGCTGCTGCTGCAGGTCTGAACACATTCATTATATGGCTTGATTATATAGAAGTGTATTCTCTGCATAATATGGCTAAATTTTATGGACTTTTTCACTACTGAAGTTTAGCGCAAGTACTCTATTCGATTTCTTTGCTTTTTGCAGTAATTTATTTACGCCTGCAGTCAAAGTTTCGTAGTTTATTGTCCAATACCAATTTATCGTAAATATGTACTGCGAATAAAATACTACAGTAGAAAGATAGAGCAATTATCGTCGTTCTGTCTTGGAATGCTCAAGTTATCGATTCCTTCGTAAATATGGTGATTTAATAGCTATGATCTTGTCTACATTAAATTTGTATTGGGGTGATGTTCTAAAAAAATAAAAAGGGAAGTTAATATACTGGTTACTGACACCTTGACTGGAATTTGCCGCGCAGGTGGAGCGACGATGCTGGCCGGAATGGTGAACATGAATGGCGGATCCAACGGCCAACCATCGCCTCAATACCTTGACAACCCCGACGACAACTACCAGCAACCCACCAACACAGTCTTCCTCTCACACGGTTAGTTAATGTTCTGAGGCCATACTTTCAAAATTCGCTAAGTTAACGTAAGTACTTACGCTCTATTTTCTTGTCTGTGATTGGTGGATTTTGCTTGAAAGGCGGTCAATGATTGGCTGATGAACTTACGATCTCTTAACTTTTTTTGAAAGTATGGGCCCAGCACTGGTGGCATTTATTGCTTAGAATTATATGTTTTGAGCTGTATATACTAAGTCTTGAGTCACCATCAAGTACTTTCGTGTTCTCTGGCAGCAGTGCTTCTCCTGGCGTGCAGCACGATGAGCGTGTGAATTGTTCATTTTTTTATTAATTCGTTTCAAGATATCTGGAAAAAAATTGTGTATTATTATGGGGATTTTATAGAAGCCGCAATTACCTCAGTGAACTTTCATTTCTTCAGTAATCAGGTTGCATGCGCGCAAAAGGAATAAAGTTTAAACGAAAAGCCCCGTCAAATAATCGAGTGAGCTTTTTTTCCATTTCATTCAAATAATTTTTATAATAATTTCTATAACAAACATTAAAGCCCGAGGGAACTAAGAATGTGATTTTTATCTTCAGGTTAATGTGAATGACGCATACATTATCAAAGTTAATTATTTACATTTAGTGTAATGATCGCTATTCAAGATCAGTAGATGATTTCAGTTTAATATAATTTATATGATAGCATACCTGAACGGAGCTGTACTTTTAGAGTAGCTATATAATAATGATTTTACATAAATAGAACATGTTCAGAGCGTTTTAAGTGAAACCTTATCAGCGAGTCTAAGTTTACGTCAGGAATATTTATTTGACAAGGGCACAAACAACAAAGTTAAGCCTCAATTTGGAGATTAAACCTTCGTAATGTTCTCCAAAAATTATTGACAGTTTCGTGTTAATTTTCACAATACTCATTCTGAGCAAGTTTTGTGCAGTGATCGCGTTCAGAAATGAACGTTTACTGGTCAACGCTTTGATTGACCAGCAGTTGATTACCTGCCATTTTAGATTTCTGTTAGCCTTTAGGATGAGATCCCAATCAGTAGATTCGTTTATTTACTTTTGGCCTTTTGGAAATGTCCATAAATCAAAAATAAATATTTATTGACTTCTCGTTGTCGATTGTGTAAGTTCGCACAACATATGTGGGCTGGTCTCCGCAAAGTAAAGCCTATTTATCTTCTTCACTATTACGACTTACATGTTATAGTTACCCAAGCAGCGCCACATGATATGCTTTGCATGCAATATCACTAAAATTATGAGAAAAAATATAACTCAGTATTCACTGCAGTGAGTGACAGAGAACGCATTTTCTCGTCGACGAAAACTTGAGGTCACGGACGGACGGACAGGCAGACGGACAGACAGACAGACAGACGGACGGACTTGGCGAGCACAATAGTGCATTTTTTCCATACATGAGAAAATGCGCTAAAAAGCGAATCAACCTCAATGAACCATGGAAGAAGAGTTCAATAGGCAATGAAATTTAAATGTTTCTTCATAAAACAACCCAAGCAGCGCCACATGATATGCTTTGCATGCAATATCACTAAAATTATGAGAAAAAATATAACTCAGTATTCACTGCAGTGAGTGACAGAGAGCGCATTTTCTCGTCGACGAAAACTTGAGGTCACGGACAGACGGACGGACAGACAGACAGACAGACAGACAGACGGACAGACGGACATGGCGAGCACAATAGTGCATTTTTTCTACAAATGAAAAAATGCGCTAAAAAGATCGAATCGCGAGTAACTTAGAATGTCATTATAAATAAATTCCCTGCAAATCTTCAAGTAGACAATCAAATTCAGTAGAAAAATAATTCGCCTTTTTTTTGGATTAATAAATATTTAACAAGCGCTGATGCTCTTACTTTTGTTCAGTTTGAGAGTAGTCTATGCTTAACTTTTACGAACAACTTTGACCGTGAGTTAGGCACCTAATGTCTGCTATATGAGCTTTATTCTACTCAGTTTAACAGAAAAGAGTTACTTTGCGTGTAATTTTGTTAGCAGTAAAAAATTGTCTTATGTTCTACTTGAAAAACTTTATGAAGAAATATGTCATTTGAACTAATTCCATAAGTCATAAAACTTGTATAAATCTAACGTGCAAATGACTACGAATAAACGAAATTCGAGTATTTAAATGTGTTCCTCGATTCATCACCATACGTCGTGGTCAGAAAACAATAACACTCGGCTCGCTCCATGCAGAAATCGACGTAGTGGCATTCAAGAAATCTGTAAATATAAAATCCACAAGAATTCCCTTCCTCTTTTCTCGGTCCCTGAACATCTCAACGTCGTAAGTTCAGGCAAGAAAGATCGTTTTTGCCGCTATCGTTCACGACTCACCTGTCGCGTTTTTTTCTTTGTTTGACGCCTCCATGAGCACATTATGAGGCCCTTTGTATTCAGATTGGCTGGTGGCATAGCTCTTCCTCACAAGGGTCGGATAATGGCATCGTAAGGTGTCTGCTCGAGAACGCAAGCGCACCAAATTGGGACTAGCCTTGCTCTCTCTAACGAACGACAACGCCAACCTGAAAAATCCGCTTTAAGAGGCCGAGAAAATATTTTTTACAATTTAAGATTTTATCACATTTTATTCACAATAGGGAAAAATTAACCTCTTTTTACAATTCAGTTTTTTTTCGTCAGAATTTTAGTTATGTTCACATTCATGTTTGATCATTCTTCTCTAGAGGAAACAAATATTCACTTTCTTACCACCGCTGTCCTGCCATCAATGCATCACGTTATTGTTAGGCTGAGCGTCTTGAATAAGCCATAACTTGTGACTGACATCGTCAAGCACACGTCGAGCGGCACTGTCCTTTACTGAGTGAACATCTTCGTCTGCTGGCTGTACACCACACTCGCTACACTGCAACTTAAAGTATTCTGATATAGATAGTAAAAGTAATTCCTCATAGATAGTAAAATGAATTCCTCATATGAGGGACAGAAGGGATATTGTTCCCTCGAGATTGAAATGTTTTCTATTGCAGACGGAAGGATAAATGAAGCTGGTGCTTTCACTTGGAACGTTGACTTTTGAATAAGAAATGATGATCACTTGTTCAATAATTCATACTTCTTTACTGGCTAGGAAATAGAAATAAATATTTTGCTAAGGTAATTTTGTGTCGTATCAACTTCATCCCACAGCTTCATATGTCAGTCATGTATGACGCTGTTCCGTTCTCGTATATCACGATTCATCTCCTAAGTAAAGTATTAAAATAAATATTTTGAACAAATTTATCATTTATGGACAATTTTATCCTCAGCCATAATGTTTTTTATTATTATTTTGTTTATGTTCCCATATATTGGACGTTTTTTTGTGTTTCTCCCCGAATTTCACTTGAGCGAACACATCCTCCACAAGTGCAGTTGCCATTCAATCTGCGGCTAAGAGCCAAAAGAAGGCCATTGTGTCGGAACTTCTTCAAGTTATTCCCGGTCTCTGAGTTCAGTATCGCGAGTAAAGGCTTGGTAAGAGTCTCGAAAGTGCTCTTTGGGACCATGTCCGAAGCTGAATTTGTTGCCCAGGCAACATTCCTGGGAGATAAGTGAATTTTCTGTTTTATCCATTGTTGCAAACGAATTATTAACTTTGATATTTTACCCTATCATCATTTCGAAGAAAGTCATGAATTGGCGGCCTTTTTTCTGGCTTCCAATCTACGCAAATGTTAGAAAATCGATGAAATTATTTTTGCTCAATTGTCTGCCGAGGAACTCAACTCAATTTCTTACTTATTTGTTCTCAATAGGTTGTAAATAAATAATTTACGTCGGCATTCGTGCATGCGATAGGTATTCTCACTATTAATAATAGAACTTAATTTATCAATTTAAATTTTTTTTGTGTCTTTTCAATTACAAGCTATTTGATTGAATTCAATTGATTTTGCCCTTTAAACTAAGGAATATTTTCCTTTGCACTTAAAATCTTAATAAAATCTTAATAAATGGGGGTTTTCATACCTAGTTTGACTAAACGAAATCAGGAGCAAATTGCATATGCAATAAGTCTCAGCAATTCATTCATTAGTTCAGAGTGCAACAATGAAACTGATGGAAGTTTTGTGTTTGCCCCACAGCGGATTACCTCGTGAACGGCACCAATGCCCGCTACGGAGGGGTGCTGGGAGGTGCCAAGAGCCCTGGAGGATCAGCATTTTACGGCCCCCCTCCTGGACCTGAATTCTCGCCCACCTCTAAACCTCAGCCCAGGTAAGAACTTTACCTATATGTAACTTAATAATCGAATTTTATTATGCATGAACGCAAACTAATGGAATTATTATTAGCCTATTTATTTCGAATATAAATTCCAATTCGCCCAGTTATCGTTTAACGCAATAAAAAATGAAGTCGTTAATGTCTCGCCTAATATGACCTTCGTCCGAATTTACACTCGTTTTCAATTTCGACGTATTATAATCTCATCTCGTATCCTATCTTCCCAGATACAATTAGAATTTATTACTTCCTTAGGTTAAAAGTTAACGAGGCTTATTTAGTACAAATTAGTTATCTAACTATTAGCTTAATCAATTCATGCTCTACGACGTTATCATTGCACCTAATTGAGGCTAATATCTGTCGTATATTCACCCAATATTCTGGATAATTACCTTCTCTGATCATTGCATCACCTTGTCAAATCGCTGAACCATTTTACATTACTGACTGGTTTATTCTACTCTCTGTTTAATCACTCGATTATACGCGTATTTCGTCAATGCTATGTTGATTCAATTTGTTTCTACCACGCCTAACCGCGAATAACGATTCAAGTGAAACCCCGGTACATTAATTATTTATTCGCGTTGCAGCAGAATGTTATAAAAATTTCTACGAAATTTGATTAATTGTAAATTTTGCGTTTTTTGCACAATTGTTTTTTGCACTCTTTACTTGGATATAGAGAAAGTAAAATAATTTGAACTATAGCAAGAATCAAGAATTTTTCTTCAATAATAATTTGCCTGAGTAACTCGCTGATTTTAATCCTTTCTGAAAGCTTTTAATTATTATAAATAGAATTCCAGACGCTGCATAGCTTTGCACAACATATCTATAGTTGGAAAAAATCATTCTAGCTTAATCGAGTATTAATCAGCAAATGTTGAATAATTCTATTAGACTTATTATTGCTGTCCAGTTTGAAATTGTACCTTTCAAAGTCATGAACTAACGATCGCTCTCTCGATTGGTCATAACTCGCTGCTCATAACGCGTTTCCGCGTCATTGGATGCAGGCTAATCGTCCATTCATTGCATTAGCATGTTTCGCTCAACTGAAGCATTCCGAGCTCTCATGGTGGCAATATTTTATACTTGAGGAATGAAGGTTGGTCTGGGCAGGGCATTTGCGAGACTCGAGATGCTCTTGCATAATAAATCCCGCAATCTGCCTGCACTGCGGCCCTGCTCTCAAATTAAACGTTTTTCCTTGAGAACTCGAAGAAGCCTTTTGTGACACAAGCTTGCGACTTGCCGTACTTCTTTTGAGCTCTTCTAAAATACATGAGCTTTAGAATGCGCTGCAAGCCGTTGTCGCTCGCAAAGTTTTGTTGCGACCATTTTGGGCAGATGTGATGAAATCCTGCAAAATTGATGCCTCTCTTGTTACTTCCTGACTAACTTAAGTGATTAGCCGTGGCCTTATCAGAACCGCACCTCGTGGGAGGAACTTCTACGCTTCCAGATTTTCTATGAATAATTATGAATCGTTCGTCTTTACTTTCCTCAGGAAAGATTTCCTTGTTACTGCAAAGTTTGTCTAGTTTCTTCGTCAATGTTCTGCAAAGTTATAGCGAGAGGCTTCTTATGAAAACTAGGCTTTTTCGCGAACGGTTTTTTCATGTCGGTCGGAAGCTTCTTTTATCACATTCCAATCGTATATTGTTTGAAATTTCATGCATGCAAAATATTTAAGAGCATTAATCTAACTTGAAGAGCTCACAATTGTATGCATCTAAGCTATAAAAGACAAAGAAGCTCTATATTAAACACTCAGTCACTGTCTTTAAAAAAATTATCTTAAACTGCATTGGCCAACCTTTTCCGCCGCTCCAACTATACACCACATTTTTAAAATTAAGAGATTTCATCAAGTCAGTTTTCTCAATGAAGGGGCAAGAAATCGCTTGATCACACGCGCCTTTTCACATTGTGAAAACAAATTCCTGTTGCTTTAAATCCACTTATCTGCTCATGAATGATTCATTTTTGTTTTGTTTATTTTATGCACATTAACTTTTCAGTTCTTCAAATGCCTTGTAGTTTTAGATTATCAAGTATTTGTTTCATGCCTTGTAAAAATGGCAGTTCTTTCAGGTAAGATTGCGCCTTTGGCTGTCCCATGGACTCATTTGGAATCGTTCATTAGGAAGGAATGTAATGGGAATTGGTTGGCTGAGTTGTTAATGTCTTACTCATTAGCGTTGCGCTCGCTGAGGGCCAATATTGTCCTTATTAGAAGGCATTTGAAGAGTTCTTGGCAGCGCAATTTCGTACTATTGCCTTCCAGAGCTGCTCGGCTGCTGCTCCTTGAGCTACTTCACATAATAACCATCAAAATGTAACAAAACTTTCATAAATTGCGATACAAACAATGACTCTGGACTATTCTCACTATTTTTCAGTTGGGTTAAAAGTGTACTAAGAAGTACGAAGTTCACTTTGAATATTAATTTAAATTTTGTATTTTAATTTAAATAATGGTTTTCAAACCCGGAGACTTCTTGATGAATTTTGTTAGACATAGAATAGAATAGAAGTGTCAATGTTCATACTCGGAGCGTCAACGATGCTATCAGGGAGGCTGTTCCACATGTCGGTGACTCGAAGCGAGAAGAAATGTTGTCGCATGGATGTGTTGAAGGATTTCTACGTTGCCGTTAGGTAATTGAGAGTTGAAATCTTTGCACTTCGTTAGAATAACACGAATATTTCTTCACTGACTAATTGGCGTTTTATTAATTATGTTTATTAGCTACGAATAAAAATCATTCGTCGGTCGCTTGTACAAAACTGAGCTCACAAATTAGAACACAATTTTTCTCAGAAAATTGTACCAAATAAATACTAAATAAAATAATGTATTGGTTCATTTATGCCTCAGCATGTTCGTAGATCGCAATGTTTTACAAATTAATTAAATAATTTGCTGTGCATCTCATTGCATAACAAATTTAATTTTTAATTACATGACCCGCATCACTTAAAATGATTCATGAATATTACATGAATAAAATGTTTAAAGCGAGAATTATGCAATGAGCAATTAAACATTTAAATGCATAAACCGTTTCTTCTGTGCATACCATCGATTCCAGTGAACCGTTTCACACAAGATTTTTAATGAACAATAATGAACTTTGCCCCAGGCTCCTAGGAACTCTTAGCTCAAGTAAGGGCATGAGCAGTCCAGGTGGCGGGGCGCTATCGACGCTGCCTGTGGTGCGCAACACAAGATTATTAATGAACAATAATGAACTTTGCCCCAGGCTCCTAGGAACTCTTAGCTCAAGTAAGGGCATGAGCAGTCCAGGTGGCGGGGCGCTGTCGACGCTGCCTGTGGTGCGCAACACGCTGGGGTCGCGTGGCACGTCTTTCTCAGGCCGCGGTCTGGCGCTCGGCAAGTCGTGGCCGCGACACTGCAACTGGCGCACTGCAGCCATCGTGCTGGGCATCGCGTGCTGCGTTCTCGCCGCTCTACTCGCCTATTTCGCAAGTCAGTTATTTATATCATACACTGAATGATTCAGGCTTCATTAACAAGCCAGGAAACCATTGTGCTTTTGTCGAGATCATTAATTTTAAGTTCAGGAAGGTCGATACTTTCATTAAATTTCTTCTCTGCATGACTTGCCCACGATGCGGTGCCTGCGTTTGGCTATATGTATTCAGTTTTATACCGCTCAATCAACAAATATATTACAATTGTTTTTATTCAAGTTCAATCACATCATGCATTGTTACAGAATTTCTTAGTCGGCATGGATTATTATCTTGTTCAGCGTCGTGACGTATCTTTTCACCTGAAGCGGTTTTCATTCCATATTTTTTATTCCTTCTAAATAAATTCCAATTTTTCATTTCTAGTAAACTTGCAAGTTCCTGAATATTCTGCCTGGGAATATTCTACCCGTAAAAAGTTTCACAAATTACAGTTTTTTTTATTTTTTTCCATACTTGATATGAGCGTCCTTAAAGCACCGGAAGCAATACAAATTATTCATCATGGTTCACTTCCGTCGTTGTTTTTCGTTTAACGCATTGCAGGATATATTTATTTTACACAAGTGTCATTTTGAGTTTGAGCTGCAAATTTGGATAAATATTAATAATTAATGCAACAATTAGCTAAAATTATATCAGCTTGACATTTCCTGGACACTAGAATAACTATACTTAAATTTTACTACATTTTTACATCTTCAACAAAATTTTACCTACGTACACAGTATAATAAGTAAATCTTGATGAACGCGCTGTTAATTGACCAATTCCGTATTTGAATACATCGGATCGAATAACTATTTATTCTTAAGTATTGAAACATTTGAAAACTCATTACCAATTCAGTAATAAAAACTAATACTGAATTTCAATATTGCAATGGCACCCGAGCAGCCACAGGATTCAGTATTTGGATACTTCTGATAGAACATCTTGTTTTTATAATTCGTTATTGAACGAATTATAAAAACCCTCGGACCCTCGAAGTCGCTCAGCATTTATTTTTACGTCATCAAAAATTTATTATTTGGTATTAAACACTTGAGAGCTCATAACCAGTTCATGTTTAGATACAAATACTGTAAAACAGTTTCCCAGGGGCCATACTTTCAAAATTCGCTAAGTGAACGTAAGTACTTACGCTCTATTTTCGTATCTGTGATTGGTGCATTTTGCTTGAAATGATGGCAATGATTGGCTGATGAACTTACGATCTCTGAACTTTATTAGAAAGTATGGGCCCAGCACTGTAAGTGATCACTGTACATTCACTGCAGCCACAGCGTCGTTGGCGCGCACGGCCAAGAGCTGCCTTGTGGTGGAGGACGCCGCTCAGGTCATCGCTGCGCACGCTGACGCCGGCCAGTCTCTCTCCACGCTACCTCCGCCTAGATTAAAAGGTGTGCGACAAAACACTTTATAATTCGTAGAAAAATATCTGAAAATAACATATAAACTAATAAAATAGCTTGAAAGTTAAATATTAGTTGAAATGCTGCTGAGTACCAGCCAATGAATTAATGTAGTAATTTAATTATACGATTAACGTATCTTTATTAAGAGACTTGGCGGGTACTTAATTGACGTTGAAAAAAATCTATTTAATTTTTTTCATGAAGCAGAGATGGTTGGAAGGAGCGGAACAAAAACCTAAATTTTATTGGTTAGTTGTAGTCATTATACTCATTTAAAGATGATTGCTAAACAGTGTTATCTTCACATTTCATTCTGCCTTGCTTTAGTTGGCTTACGTTTCTTTCTTTGAATATTCAAATTACATCGTTGAAAAACTCTCCAGCACCACAGCAATGTTTGCTTGTTGCTCCTACGTGGACCCTTGCAGTTCCTCAGCGAGTGACTGTGACTGTCAGTTCTGACAGTCGTTCTTGAGTTAGGGAAGCTCTGACTCTCCGGAGCAGAACTGACAGTTCACAACTTGTGCTCTCGAGTGTCATTGCTTTCTGTACAGTCTCGTGCTGCCCAAACTTCTCACTCACTGTTTGAGCCGGAAGTATTTATGAAATAGTTTGAAAACACCTTCCGTCCTCAAGAGTATTAAATTGTTCTCATATGCCTTACAGGCTAACAGTTATTCGACGTAATGACCGTAGTAATCGATCTTCGCGTCCATTTATAATTTTTTATTCCCTAAAAGAAAAAGTAAAATCCTATGCTTTCATGCTGAGTATTGACAGATACTACAGTGTTTTTCTAGCCATCTTTGAAACAATTATATCAATTTAATCATGAATTTGTGAAGCAAATTTAGTCAGTGTGACTCCTGATATGCAATTTTTCATTAAATCGTGTTAGAAAAGCGCTTGATGTGATTTTTCTCTCGTTGTACAGAATTCACGATTATAAATCTATTCCCATGCCAATAGCGGATCGATTTTTTCTGCGACATTCAACTACTAATTTTATGAACATAATTTCGAATATTCCGGGTGCGAGTATATAAAATCCATGAACAGATGAAGGTAACAAATATTCTACATGCTAATAACTAATTTCAGGCAAAATTAAGTAGTTCCCAATAAATTTTATTGTTTATTGCTTCAAGTAACCTATTTTTTGAAGAACCAGATTCGTTGAGGTCCATTTGGGCCCAGCCTCCTGCTATACATGCAAGAGAGTCTGGCCTCGAAAACATGTTTCTTGTACATATTAATGCCTTAATTAGATTCCCTTCCGTTCGACCTGCTGCTGCTGCCGCCGAGGTGCCGTTTAATTCCTTAGACTTTACTACGGCAGAAAATTTGCATTAGATCTTAACTGGAGCACAACGGCCTTTATTAAGGCGGAGCAGGAGATGCTATACCCGGTGAACGCGATGCTCCCCGAACCTAAAACATTGAGAATATTTTTTCCAGCTAAATTATTTTAACCATGTTCAAAAATTGTTTTCAAATAACATTGAGCTCAGAAACAGTAAAATGTTGTTTTCTTGTCACATTTACATGAAATGCATTGGTGTCGTATATTTTCTAAATAAAATGAATTTAAACCAGTGTGGTCTCCATATTCATCATAACAAATTTGATTCCCATTTAATTTAAGTGACTAAAATTATATGCTTACAAAACCGGGTTAGTATTTTTTCAAAGGCTGCTCTCTGAAAAAATATCTCTTTTTTTTCTATTTAAATGATTAGCTGAATTATTTCAGCGTTTTCAGTCCATGGAAGATCTACCTCATTCTTTCATACTTTCTTAAAACAATTATTTGAACAATTTGTCAATTAGGCCGACTATTTTTTCTAAAAGAGAACATCAGGTGTCTCGTTAAATGAAGGCGAACTGGCCGACTCCGGTAACTGACTGCTGTCAATAGTTACGACTTCCTCCATTTCCAGTCGTCAATTAATCCTGATGCCCAGGCACGTGCACCAACCTGATTGATCGACTCAAAAATTTCTCGTCTAAATCTCGAGGATTAGGAAATGGAAAATTTGTCATGTAAACTAGAGATGACTATGGAGTTTAAAATTTTATTCAACGACTGGGAAAACTAACGCAATCTATTGACTCTTACTTTCAAGAACAAGATTTGTAACACTAAGAATCTTTATTTACTGCTTCTTTGCAAATTAAAAGTAGTTAATACTTTCCTACAAAGTGAAATTTTTCTATTTAAAATGCGTCTTCATAAAATGTTTTTATTCTGCGTATCACCGCTATAAATATTTGAAAGATATGCGACAACTTTCGTGACTAATTAGTGAAACAGAGAATATAGGTAACATCTACATTATAATAGTATTCCGTTGCTACTTGTAAAGCATACATTTATTTGCCATACTAATGCCAATTCATTCCATATAACATTTCGATAAGCATCACATTATTTCAACCTTAATGCCACTTTACTTCTATTTTGGTCAAACTATTCAAAACCATGATGTTTTCTCGTTAGCCCTAATTTTGTTTCGATAATTCAATGTTCAAAGTTTATGCAGTAGCACTCATGGTCGGCCAGAGGGCAAAAGCAGCTTATGAAAGGAATTCTATAAAGAAGTTGTACATCTTCAGAATGTATTTCCCGAACGTTTTCAATCACAAAAAACGCGCACTGTCACTAAATTTAAGATGCATGAACGTAACAATGTGACATGCCGTCTTCACCTGCACTGCGTCATTCATCAGAAACCAAATAAAAAAATCCACAGACAAAAACTCATTTTTTCCGACGTGTGCCGCGGCCGGACTTCCCGGGCAAGGGGCCGGTAGAGTGCGGCGTGATTTAGGAGCGTCGTGCAACAAGTGTTACGATTCTCCTGCTGTAGTTGCAGAACACTCCCTCAGTGCAAATAACGCTGAAACAACGTCGATTATGAGTTGTAGTCATTAAAACAACGTTTAATCGACGTTATTTTAACGTTAAATGTAAAATGTTACTGCTGCTTATTAATACCCCTGCTTTTAAGGCTGTGATGCATTACAATACAGCAAACTCAGATCTTATCAAAACTGCTGCTACATATTGCTGTTATCACCACGGTTTTGTTGCAGTCGCTGCACAGTTATTTCAGCTTGCCTTACTGCAAAATCTTACTCCACCTATTGGTGTTTGCAACGATCAAGTTTGAATTAATGATACCAATGACTTGACTCCTATCTGCACCTGCCTAAGTGCATGTCCCTGCTGCTTATTCTGAAAAAAAAAAACACTACCACATCTACGACGCTGTTCGTAGTACGTGTTCATCTGAAGACGACCAATTTTAAATTAATCCCTCCATCATTTTACCGAACTTAAAACATGTTTTCTGTAATTCCCACTGTAATAAATTTTAATTATATACGTGTGTACCTTAACTAATTTTTGTTCACTTATTCACAAACATGCATTGTAAAATTCAAATAAAAACTGGCATAAGCAATAAAAAATTTCAACGAAAATACACATTTCTCGCTCTTCCATTCCCTGCCATTGCAGCTTATTCCTACCAATTTAATTTATGAGCTACGTCTAGCTTAAGCCAATTGCTCCCCCTCACTGCAAATGCGCGTACGTTTTTTCCGCAAAACGCATCGAAAATCAATACCGTCGGATCATCGATTTGCTATGAACCCCATAACGTTGGGTTTGTGCCCGCCTACGAATGAGAATTATTTACAGTAACGTTCAGCCACTGCATCCCTGCAGCAACACTGCATTGAAGCTTTTCAATCATGACACTTGAATAATAAGGTGGTGTGTTAAGGCAATGTTTTTTATGCATGGGTGAGGTAAAAATTCTAAAGAAATTAAATCTAAATCCCTCGCTGCGGTACCATTGTCCAATGGGATTATGAGAAAAAAGTGAATATAAACGCTCCAATACTAGCCTACATGATAAAGAATATAAGGCTAAACTATAAACGAACAAAGNGCAGAGCAGAAGATGCCCGTCAAGTCTGTCCTCTTTAAAGTGCCGCAGCCTCGCTGGCAGCGAGCACCGCTCCGCGTTGTATTTTTTCCAGCCACAACGAGTTGCTGGCCATTTGGAATTCCAAATGAGATTTCATTAAGATCGGACCTGCGCTAAAAATACTCGGCAAGTTGGTATTAAAATTTTAGAACGCGTTGCTACAATCTTGCGGCTAAAACTTCTTGACGTTTCTGGGTAGAAGCCGTAAATGTTCCACGAGTTCTGTTATCACACCGTCACTACGCACCGGCACACTATTCCTCTTAACACATTTCTCAGTTAAATCCTTTACCCCCTCAACGCCTCCCTCTCTTTCAAACAATATTCCTCCTCTCAATTCTTTGCCTTTCTTCATATTCAATTTCTCTGTATCAACCACTTCCCTATTAAATTATTTTTCAATAAATCGTGTTATTCGGAAAATTCTTGAATTTTCTATGAATGAATTATGGCTGTAATTTTTTGTAAGCATAATCCAATCGGGGAAATATTTTATGCGAGTTTCTACGTTATTATATTAAGTCCATTTTGATGGTTCACTGTTTAAACTGCACTCTATTGCAAGAATACCAACGAAATGATCATTCCATTCAATTAATGATCAAAATAATTCGAATAGCAATTAGTCTGAAAATTACTCTCATTTGATGCATGATTATGCAATAGTATGATTATCTTTGATTTCTTTCCAAACAAACGATAACAAAATTTAATTAATTATTCAATTCCATGTTGCAAATTATTCGTTGTTAGGCACGTAATGCTCACGTGTGACTCACTGCATGTAAGCTCTTTGCCTGCACTCAAGCACTCGCAAGCGCTCATTAGAGTCATCAATAACATCCAATGGGCAGCCTGCCTTTAATTAAAACTTTTAATGCTTTCATAACTTACCCGAATTATTTGTTGGTCGAGAAATGAGCCTCTGCGCCACTTTGTATGAAATGCTTACGCTAAAATTTGGTTCCCGTACCCATCAAAGAACCTTTCTTAATTTAATTGGTCAGGCAATGCACACAATTTTCCTCTCGAAAATATCTTAATTATGGTCAATGATATTAAATTGAAGATAAACGCTCATATCATAGAGTTTATGTGCAAGCAACATTAATGTGGACTATTTGGAGATATGTATAATGTCGAACTATAAGAAAATTGATCACAAGTTATTCTTGGCTATTCGTCAAATATTTAAAAGTAATGAATAAATCTGAATTTTTAATGCGTAAATGAAAAAATTATCTGAATAAATTCTTCTAACCCTGCAGAAAAAGTTCATGTTGTGTTCAGACAACGGTCCTTAAAAAAATACTTATAAGAAAACGCCATTTGTATGGAGCTCTGAGAGCTGCATTAATTACGGTGATTTGCTGTGATTGCTTAGAGCGTTTCTCTCGCAAATTTACTATTGTATATCAGGGAACATCTATTGAGGCGCAGCTTGTGACCATCTTGAAAGTGCCTGTCCTCGGAGACAAAAGTGGCGGCCAATATAACTTTCGAGTACCAACCGCCACTATTCATTGGCCTTGTGTACAGGCCCTACAGACCACAGAGGAGGCCAGTAACCCTTCACACGAGGCCAGTAACATTGTAATTAGTCGTACTAGTAGCATTTAAAAATTTTCACTGCTGTCTCCGTGTACAAGCACCTGAAAGGTGGCTCAGCGAATCTAAATCCATCCGAGAGTTCATTTTAATTTAGCATCGACATTATTCTCAATTTTTATCCGAGTAAGTCCAGAACTAATATGAGCTATTTATTTATATACGTACGAACGAAAGTGGTTTCACAGCTAGCTACACATTTAACATTAACATGTAGAATGTAGATTATATCAATAACCTAGAATTCAAAAATTTAAAAATTTTACATCGCCAATGCCTAAGTTGGCCAGCGTGTGACAGAACCCACACACGGACTCTAATCGAAGGAAAGCCAAGCTTCCTCACTGTCCTAAGGATATCCTAATTAGCTCCTCTGATTACAAGCTTTAATGAGGTTACTCAGGTCTAGAGATCGTCGCCCATAGTCCCTTAAATCGGGAGGTTGGTGTTGCGCACTCGGTTCTTTATAATACCTCTAAATCTGTACTGCGGCAAAAATACTCTTAAGACTTAAGTTCTAAAGAAAAATAACTACGTTGAAGATTGATGGAGTTAACATATAAAAACATAATTTTTCAAGCTAGGCGTTCCATAATTAATTTTGACTAAAATCAACTGTGACGGTATTAAACGTGTTACTTAATCTGATTATTTCTTATTCCACCCTCGCACATATGATTGATAAATCAGAAGGACGGCTTGTACGTATAATCTTTCACTCTGAAGCCTATAAGATCAAAGCAACAAAAGCTGACACGAAAATACAGCATTTCAGGTTAAAAATGCAGTGTTTACTGACGAGTATAGCTTTTTTTGACATCACTCGCTTGCCTCCAGGAAATGATTTTCCTCTAAAAGAGTTCTGGAACCAAACAGCCTGGCATCCACTGCTTTTTCCACCATGATGCTTATGAGCTCCAAAGAACCTTTGATTTACGAGCCTCTTGCGATTCTGGCCGATCAAAAACAGGTGGAATTTATTAGAAGAGGCTCCAGATACAGTCAATCACGCCCACTTTTCTACGGCATCTGAGAGATTTCTGATGCTGCCTTTCCGTGCGACCGAAATTATTTCGTCGACGAAACTCCGTCCGGTAGACTCGTGGCAATACGTCTAAGTGACTTATTGGTAATTTAGTAGATATAAAGTATGTTCGATGTTGTAAATTAGTAGAAATTGATTTCCTTCGAATGACATTTGATAGCAACTATCAAACGTACGCGATCTCGATAATTATGAAATGTTATTTCATTAATTTTTTTAGAAAAAACTTCTCACATTCTGACAAAAATTCCGTCACTATATTCTTCAGTGATCGATGTTTCTGTTCGGACAGAGTATTTCCTGCAATAAAAGTAGATAGACTTTTTTCCTGAGACTAACTAACTAACATCCATCGCAACCTCTACATTTTTGTGTCAATAATGTAATATAGATGACTTTTTTCTTCAATATTGCACTATAGGTAAGCAGGAATAAAGTCCATTGCTCCACATTATCATATTAGGCACGCAAGATTGTTTTGCATAAAAAGAAACAGCATATGCCGTGTATTCTTCTTAATACACGGAAAGGATTAAGACACGGAAAGGAAATTTGCAGCCCTAAACAGCAAAGCGCAGTAGCACTCAACACCAAGTGCTGGTGGAGTAGGTCCGCTGTATGGGACGGTGAAAGCTCGGTGATGGATGGTGCAATTCAGTGGAGCAGCGAGCAGGCTTGCTTTCGCAGTAATCTCCTTGCTGATGGAGTCTGTGTAGAGCACAAATGAATACTAGATCACCGCCCAGTCCCGTACCTGTCACAGTGTCTTTTTGTGTTCCTGCCTAATAGGTAGTCTTCTTGTCATCTAATAGTCTTCGGGCCCCCATTCTTTTCACCTAAAAATGCTACTTTCTTTTCACCTGAAACTGCTAGCATGAATTTCGTCACTCGTAAAGTGAACGAGCAGATTGTATTAATACAATAATTTAATACTTTCACAGAATGTTTAAAGTTTCCGTATAATCTTTTGCCTCTTAAAATCTTGCCTGTATAGTTCGATTCTACAGAGTACAGGGAACGTAGCGACCAAGCGAAGAGAAGGATAGTGAGAGTGTTTGCTCGCTGTCCGCTCGGTGCAGGCTTCATTAATCCCAGGGACAGAATGACGCGCAGTCCTTGTAATGGTGGCACTGGCGCCAAAATTGCTCCTGAGAAATAACGAGGATGCATCTCCATGAAATATTGTCATGTTTATTCAGCAGTTACTGTGTCCTGCTCTCATCATGTCTCGGGTGCCACATGCACCACTGTAAAATTATATTTCGAGGCGCTCTGTTGCCGTGCTGAAATCAAATCATAAAAAATAGATTTACGCTGAGAAGATATCTTCTTATCTGCGGCTTTTGGTGTAAAAGGCAATATATTGAGCGCATGTAATATCATTCCACTTTTGCAGTTTTAAATCAATGCCATTTCTCCTGCAAAAATGTAAATTGTGCATCTAGTTCATGGTAGTTGCACAATTTTAGTCAGCCATGAATGAGTACAACTTATCCGTTCATCTCTAATAGTTTTTTCTTTTTAAATGTTTTGCCTGCTCCTGCGAACCATTTTTGCGAGGAGCGACTAGATCTTATTTTTGCGCTTGCCTATCGATCGCAATTAAATGTTTGCCTCAGCTTCTCAGACTAATTAACTTTCAGTCAGCATCAGAATGCTGTATTTTCACTTTCCTTGTGTTTTTTTTATTCGATAGTGGCATAAACTTTATATATTATGGATGTTTAATCCGATTCTCATTTTTTTACTGAATTTTTAGGGCTAGAAAATCATTTTAATTTTTTTTATTGCCATAATTCAAAAAATATCATCCTGCTTGCTTGACATGAAAACATACGTGACTGAATATAACTTTCGGCGTACCAGAGAGGCTGTAGGAGAACCGGCCAGAATTTAACATACAGGAACAACAGCGCAAGAGGGTCTTTGTAATATTCATGAACGCAATGAATACAAATTTTTAGTAAGACTCATAATATCAACTGAACTGGTTCTGAAGTACTGGCCTTGAATCAATCTCAGAAATTTGTCCGGTGATGCTGCATTTGCAAATAAATGTAGAAGAGCTACCGAAATTTGTGCACGGGCGCCACTGCTTCACTCCGATGTCTGTAGCGCCCAAGGCCGCTCATTGCTATGCTTGCCGAGGGCCAACGGGAAATTCCCACAATTCCCCTCTCACCGCAGACGCAGCCGTGGGAAGAAGTCTGGGTGTTCGGGTTCACTGCTCTACTTTTTGTGTGTCATCGCAGGGTGTCTGAAAGGACCCAGCTATTGGATGCCGGATAACTGCGTGACCAAACTGTTTATTGAATTGACTTCGTGTTCTTGGATATAAATAAGGCTTTTTGGGCTCCACGTTCACTTCTCACCATAAAATAACTAGACATCTAGAAACGTATCTAACAAAAATTTTTTACGGAAGCAGAAGTAGCTGTTTTTAGCGAAGAAGTTATTTAAGCTGATTATTGGCTTTTTCTCATTTTTCCTATCTTTTTCGCTAGAAATTATCCATCACTCGAATTTAAGAATAAATTGTGATTGTCGGGCGAAACGAAATAGTCTCAAAAAATCACTGCATGAACACTAATCTTGTGGCGCCAACTGATCTTATTCTTTTTATGTATATCGATCAAACATTGTTTTCTTTTACAACAAGGCTGCTTATTCTCGGACATTTCATTTATTAATTTTAGTTCAATATATAGAAGTATTAAGACCTTTGATGCTGCAAATCAAATGGTTTTTATTTAAGTTCTTACCGATTTCAAACTATCCTAATATTTCACTCAAATCAACTGTGACGTATCGTGTTCTTCAGCTGCTTCAACCTCCCCAACGACAGCCCCAGCACGGGCTCCGCCCGACCCTCAGGCAGGCTCTGCCCTGGCGTCCCCAGGCGGCGATGGTCGCAGTTCAGTGAAGATGAAGTCGTCGTCACTTTTGGTGAAGAACAAACGATACGAAGCTACGGTGCCGGGTAATGATTTCTGGAACGTGCAGCTCGAAGTGAAGCAACCAATGCTCATCAGGTGAGTTGGAATGAAGATAATATTATTACGCCCAGACAGGTATGTTATGCATGAATACATAACATAAATGACTATGTAGCGAGTATTCGTTTTGGCGTTCGCTAAATTCGGCTTCGAGCTGACTGAGGACGTGCGTTTTTGTTTCATGTCCCAAGCTGAATCTGACTGCTATTCATGGCGCCGTTAGCTTACTCGGTGAAGAGACTGCTCGGCATGCGGTCAGCTGCAGCAGCCCTCGATCCATCCGTCTGTGAGGGAGTAGATTTACTCATCGTGCCGTCCCCAACGCCTCGCATGTCTTATAATGGATTCTGCGCCGACCGAAATAGGCGTCCTGCTGCCACCTATCGAGCAGTGCGCATCTACGGTGTGTTCGTGATCACTGGCAATAGGCCGTTGCTACGGCGGAAATCATTTGCGCTGAACTTTACGTCTGCGAATGCTGCTGCAGAGCCTCGACCCGTAGGCCTCAAAACCTGCTTGGCTTTCGTGTTGATCGTCACTGCGTGCAGCCGTGTCGCCGGTTATCGTTTGGCTGCCTCAACATCCGTTCAGTGAATAACAAGGATAACCAGTTTCTTCACATCTGTCGCTCGCGCACGCACACTAGACGCCTTCCTGACCGAGACCTGGCACGACGCAGATTTGGGTTTCATCGCGCGTCTTCGCGCGATGAAACCCTCGCGGCTCCGGAAGCAACCCGACACCTGGGAAAAGAATTACGGTGGAGTAGCTACCGTCGCCAGCAGAGGTGTGCACCTTACCATTTTTGACATCGGAGCCCGACCCACCACCTTTGAGCAGCTATGTGCAAGGGTCACCTGCGCCACGTTCACGAGCGTTGCAATCACCGTCTATCGTCCAGCTGGATCGATTGATGTGGCGCTCAATTTTTCGTCGAATTGAGCCATGTCTTCAACAGACTTGTGACTTTCTCCTATCATATCCTCATCACCGACGATTTAAACGTTCGACTGAATCGCATCGACAACCCATCGGTGCGTCAGCTGAGCAACCTGTTGACCTATGACATGACCTTGCCGACGCACGACATGGGCAACATTGGCGCCGTGCCCGTTAAGCTGCATGCTCCAAGAATAATTCACTTGCGATGTCATCGCTGAAGTGCGCGCGCTGCCTAAAAAGCAGTGTGCCACCGACCCGCTGCCAACGCCGCTACTTAAGGGGAATGTCCTAATCCTAGCACCTTCTCTTTTCGAACTTTTCAACCACTGCCTCACTGACGGTGTTGTTCCAGAGAACTTCAAATTACTTACATTACACTTCTATTGAAAAAAAAAAACTTTGACACTTCTGATCCCAAATCATATAGACCCATTTATAAAGTTTCGATTTTGTCGAAACTTCTGGAACGCGTCATGGTCCGACAGCTGAATAACCATCTTCAGCAGGCCGGTATCATGCCTTGCCTCCAGTCTGCCTCATTTTTCCAGCATCATAATTCGGCCAACCCTGTTAAATCTTGGATTGTTCTTCAGGATCTACCCAACCTCAGCTCGCAATTCCGGTGATCGCAACAAGTTAAACTCTTTTGCTTAATCCTACTCAAAAGGATCACAAGATAATAGTCAGTCTTCAAGGAAATACAACTGATTTATAGTTATTATTTTCTTTATTCACTCATTTCTTCAAGTTCCATATAAGTTGATAGCCGAATTAACTATCGTCGCTTTCAATGTTAAATTTTGTCGTCTTGAAAATCTATTTTGATTCAAAATGTGAGCTACTGGCGGTAAACTAGCTACGAAAACGCATTGCACTCGGTATTTATAGCTCACAAATGAATATTGCAATACCAATATACCTGACAAAAATTAGACTACAAACTCCAAAATTGTAAACAAATGAAATCTTCGCGTGGACAGCGAGTTTGTCATGCCTGCGTCTTCGGTTCGCAGCATCGGCATTCTTCTTGACTCAGAACTTTCTACGAACCATCACCTCTTGTTTGCGCTCTGCGACTAATACGGAGCGTCAGCAGCTGTCTTTCAAGGCCCACGTGGTGTCGCTCGTTCTGACCAGACTGGACTATGGTAATGCCGCACTCTAAGGACTTCCGACCACGGTACTTACTAAACTGCAATCCGTGATTAACACTGCTACGCAACTTGTGTGCAATGAGCGAAAATTTGACTGCGTGACGTCAACATTGCGCGATCTTTACGGCTGCGCTTGCATCAGCGCACGCAGTTCGAGGTCGCTGTTCTGACGTTCCCATGCCTTCATGGCCTGGCGCCTCCTTATCTCACGCGAGTCGGATCTGCCTCCTGATGACGACTGCGTTCGTCATCAACAACAGACCACGTAGTTTCATCTACACGTCTATTCACCGTCGGCGACAGAGGGTTCCCGGTCGCCGCCGTTAGAACCTGGAACAGTCTGCCGGCTTTCGCAACATCGGTTCCTTCGCTGCAGGGGTTTCGTCGACGCCTACAGACGGAATTATTTCGTAAAGGGTCACCTGCGCCACACATTAGCTGCAACAATCAAATGCACAGCCGTTTTAATCCATTCTCATCCTTTCTCGTGTCTATTTATTGTTCGCTTGCTATTAAACTTAGTTTTACGTGCCCTCGAAGTTTATTTGAATCAGCCCTAACGATAACTGCTTCGTAAAATAATAATAATGAAATCGCTTCTTATAGTGGCTTCTTTTGTTCCTCATAGATTGTTTGGTATCCTTTATGTAAGGAATCTCTCCCCTTAATCGTTCAATTGTATTCGAACTTGCACTCAGCACGTTGCTTTTTATTCGCAGTTGCAGTTACTTGGGTCGACTAATATATCGTCAAAATATGTCTTCTCTCCTGTAAGTTGGTTGTAAAAAATCCAACCATTAATGAAACAATACTTTAATAGTAATCACAACCTGCCCTCTCTTAGAATATGATGCAATCAAAATTAAAATTAATACGTGCCGTGCATTTCATTATACCTCAGAATAACACTGACGGTGCGGAGATCATCAACATTGGCCGTGTATGGCCGCCGCAACGTGGCTCCCTCCATCACACAATACGACTTCGTGCAGTTCATCAAAGGAGGAAGATCTAGCCGAGCAAGAAGAGATACTCTCAACGGGGTGAATTTTGAGGCTAATAATTGTAAATCTTGTGTTTAATGAGGTGCCGTATCCGCATCCAATCGAGCAAAATGTTTTTTTTTTTCATTGAGCCTGCAAATCGAAGGGGAATTTATGATACGAATGGCTCTCGAGCCGAATTTCAGTCAGCGTTTTCGTATAGCAGCATCACTGCTGCTATGACATGAAATCATCATTTCTAATGTTCGTAAATTTTTACTTGCAGAATTTCCTGCCGTGGGATTTGTCCTACTATAACCTTGGCCGTCCAGCGTCTGAGGCTCAGAAAAGGATACCAAAAGGTCCACTCGAAGAATTGGATCCGTTTTTACTGCCAGAAGAATATTGGGAGGAAGAAGAAGATGACGTAGATGGAGACTCAGCAGAGGTGTTTTACGCCGACTATGACGACCAGTTAGCGCCAGAAACTTACACCAAACATAATATATTCAGCAGCGGGGAAGTGTTTGGTCCTGATAGTGAGTTAGAGAGCCGGCAGAGACGATATGTGGACCTGCTTGTGGTTAACACCACACTCTTGCACCGCATGAACACCGGCCTGTGGTACCTTGCAGTTTTTAACGACGCCTATGCACCGACGCAGGCGAGTCTCACCTTAGCTACATTCTTTTTATAAACCGAATCTTAAGCGAATGGAACCATGCGATTTATTCCTACTCGATATCAATTTTTATGTTTCTTGGAATTTTCTAAGCAGATATTATTTTTTAAATATTCTTAACCAATATTATTTATGAATTAAAACAAAACCTATACATGCATACCAACAAAATCATATTTCTTAGTGGGATTTATGATCCATACGGAATATATTTACTATTTTTTTGTTCTGACGTAACATTTGATCACAATAAAGGTGTCGCTACTGCTTGAGGAAGACGGGGAGCTGCAGTCCGAGTGTCCGGGCGACTGCTCGGGCCACGGCTCGTGTGTGCTCGGCCGCTGCGAGTGCGTCCAGGGCTGGACCGGCCACGACTGCTCCACCAGTCAGTATTCTTTTTAACTTAATAATTGTCTCTGAGTTTAACGTGTTCATAGTGTGGTATGTAAATCCTCGACAATAACGACCTCGGTGTAATGCGGTGAATTAAGTTTATCGTTAGATTTATTACGGCCTTCACAACACTGTTAGCTTAACTCTTCAAAAATGCGACTTGTTACTGCATTAACACTGCTACGCGCTTGTTGGCGCAAACGTGAGCCTGGTGTTACAGAGCGTCCTCAACTCTTTTAATTTCACTTATGTTCTGTATTTAATTAACACACCACACGTCTCTTGCTGCAGGCGTGTGCCCAGTACTATGCAGCAGTCACGGAGGTGAGTGTGTCTGCCAGCCTGGCTGGAAGGGGGAACACTGCCAGCACGGTGAGTGTGTCTGCCAGCCTGGCTGGAAGGGGGAACACTGCCAGCAAAGTATGTACATATGACAATCGTTGTCAGTATGGCATGTGAAAATGAACATTGGGCATGTGAATCAGCTCTCCTGGCTTGAAGGAATAACTATGAATTCATCTGTCACAGTTGGTAGCAACGTCAAGATTATTTCTGCATCATTTCGACTTCAGACTCATTGACAGATGAAATAATTAATATTAATTATTGATATTGAATATTGAAATGAAATAATAAAAACGCTGGATTCAAACTATAAAATTGAATGAGTTTAATCCATGAAAAATTAATTCGCATTCGATATTCGAGAGAAACATTTTTCACCGCACGACATTTATTTGATTTATTTGTTACTATTTAGTTCGACATTTACCAGAATTGTTAAAGTTGCAAGATAAAAAGTGGACGAGCTTTTTCATGAAGCAATCATTTTTCACATTTTTGAGGGTGCAATGCAATTATCCTGACATGATCATTAATCGATATTTTATTGGCTTTAATTTTTCGTTGATCAGTAGATGTTTGGCTTGTAGTCTGGCTGACTCCTGCTTGTTATTTCTTACCTATGTTACTGATTCCTGTCGTTGTCGGCACACATACACTATACATATTGTCGTACACATTAGCTGCAACATTATTCTTCACTATCAGGAGTCGTTACGTCAGGCTTCATTCACGTTGATTGCACGCAAATTATCTTGTAGTTGCGTGTGTTCCTCAATATGTACCACCAAAGCCACCATGTTGCCGGCGCTCCGAAATCGATTTCGTCGTGAAAGCGACTGATCATTATTGCAATCCATCACTGAACACAGTGACGTGCTGCATCATCTCCCTATCATCTTCAAACTCTGAAAAGATTTCCACGCTAGTTTGACAGCATATAATTTTCTCTCTCTCTCTCTCTCTCTCATCCCATCTGTTGTATTTTTTCAACTGTCTCCCGATCTTTAACTAACTAGATTGAGTGACTGGAATTACATTTTAAGTCAAACGTTTTCCAAATTACTCTATTGACTTAATCCGGCGTAAACTATTTCTCCATTCTCGAAACCATATATATTTGAAAACCATATATTTGAAAACCATATATTTGAAAACCATATATTTGAAAACCATATACAAACCAAGAAATTTACTATGAATTTGCAGTGGCTAAGATTAGACATTCAGCGACAATTTCAAAAATTTCAAACTCACGCACAAGCTGGAGTATTTTTTTACCAGTATTGATAAAAATCCTTGTGATTGAATCTTATTTTAATAACTCTCGTATCAAGACTACAGGAAGGTGCTTGGAATGCTAGAATTTCTAATTTTTTCAGTTGACTGCGAAGACCCGACGTGCGGTGGTCACGGAGGCTGCGTGGAGGGCCGCTGCTTGTGCCAAGCAGGCTGGACGGGCCTTAATTGTTCTCAGGTCGACCACAAAGTTTTCACGTGTCTGCCGGACTGTTCAAGCCACGGACATTACGACCTCCACGCCTCCAAATGTGTCTGCGATTCCTTCTGGACCGGCGACAACTGCAACCAACGTAAGTTGAGTGAAATTTTATTTGCTAAATGTTGATAAATTCAAAACAGATATGATCCACAGGTGTTACAAAGTTTTGGATAATTGAACGCATGAATAATGACTCGATTGGTTAATTTTCACTGTTCCCTTTACCACGTTTTTCTGGTTTTGAACTGATGATGGAGCTGGTCTCCGAAACGTTTTCCTTTTTAAGAAATGGTGAATTTTCTGGCTATTGTCTATGCTTTTAAATTTTTGATAAACTTGCGATTTAAGCAGTCAAGTGATTTTAATGACTCGATTGTTATTAGGACATTTTTCGGTGTGTAACTATAGACGATTCTTCATTTACGTGGACGTAAACTGTAATAAATGATTGAATAAAAAGTTTCATAACTTAATTTCACGATTGATAGCGGCTCTGTGCTGAGAATTTACACATTGTTGTCTCCTCTACTCGGTGAATTATATTTTTCATTTATTTAGTAATATTCAACTTCCTCTTGAATGTCGGGATCAATTCTCATTTCGAAAAATCAATCGCCTTTTACAATTTCTTCGGCCGAACACTCGTCTATATCGGTCGCGGCTCGTTTATTTAGGAAAATTAAAAGTCATTCAATGGTTGTCTCTGGTCATTAACAGAGCTATCAGTTCAATAACCAGTTAGCAAATGTCACGGTGTCACCCTTCAATGGTACTCCTGGAGTCCATGTGATCAAATTGCGCTAATAAAATCAAGCCTTTGAAGAGGACATCAAAGGCGCTTCGCCCCCAGCGTTATCTCTAGCGCAGCCAACACCCAGTCCGACACTTGATGAAATTTTTATGCAAAGTATCTGGCGCTGGAACAAAAACCTGTGAATTCCATCAGTTCTCGACACTTCACTTGGCAGCCAACGTAGTTTCGATATATTGATTTCTAATGAACAATTACTCTTGATTTGCGATGGGACATGAAATTACTGAGTGCACACTACGCTGCAAGAGCTCGATATCGAAACGCATCACCATGAAGCAGTAGAGAATAAAGATTATTGTCTGTAATTATTTTTGTCGAATCTATTTTGTCAACATAATCGTTGCTTTGAAAGGAGTCCGTGGTTTTGTAATTTTAGATAACGTTTGCTCATCAAAATGTTTGTATTATTACACCTAAATGCTGATAATAACCAAATTTGTCAGTATTTGCCCTTTAATTTGTTATTCTGTTCAGTATTCATATTCCTCGCATTTATTCGCCGTCACATCAACTATATTGGCACAAATGTCTTGTCCAAACCCACACATTTCCTGAATGCAGGCGGGCGACATTTTGCTTAGGAGTATCAAAGCCTGGACCAGGGCTGTGAACTCTTTAATTTGTTATTCTGTTCAGTATTCATATTCCTCGCATTTATTCGCCGTCACATCAACTATATTGGCACAAATGTCTTGTCCAAACCCACACAGGCGGGCGACATTTTGCTTAGGAGTATCAAAGCCTGGACCAGGGCTGAGAAATCTCATTTTTAACAGTGCTGCCGCTTCTGGCGTATAACTTGAATGCCCTTCAATAGACAATGAATGTGAAAGCTGAGAACCGAGAACTTGATGTGGCAGAAGCCCATTTTAAACTATTTTACAATTTACTTGAACATGCACTCCGGTCGATAAAAGGGGAACCCGAATGCATACCTTCCTTTGATTGAAAAAATATATTCGTACACCAAATTACCAACTGACTCATCGTATGACATCTCCCTGAAGGTTAGGTAGTGAACCGGACTAATAACATGCTTGATCGAATTCACTACACGAGTCTAATCCATAATTGGACCATAAATAAAATCCCGTAAATCACTTACAAAAGTATTTTTGTGGTGTTTTCTTCCCGTTCAATTTCCTTCTCCTTCCGTTCTTTCCCTTTACGATATTCTACTCGTTATTCATTTTACATTCTTGTAGATTGTAGAGCATAATAGTTAACATTTAAGGCGATCAAACTGTACATAAACCATATCTGCAGTCGGAAGTGGAGAGACGTATATATATTCTTGCCCAAAGCTACTCCACGGTAGATATTTTCATCGCACTCAGCCCTGCAAACTTCAATTCGTAATTAATCGTAATTCGTAATATCATGTGGATATTTTTGTTCATAAGCTCATCGAATTGCATAATTCTGCTATCAATGACCTTTTGTCAAGGATGCTTAGCTTGATACTCGATTAATCAGGAAATTTCATGAAATTTTACCGCATCATCCTTTATGATTTCTCATTTATACTGTGTCACCTGACTCAAGACAAAAGGCTCTATTGCTTTTACTTACAAAAATTTGTTGCGTGAATTTTATAGTTTCATGAAGTTTACAGCATCATCTGTTGCGTAGCGATTGCATTCGAACTAAATGATTCAAAGAACAATTCGATTTAATAGCTGAAGCGTGGTTTTTCATTTCTTGTCACCATCAACAGCCAAATGATGAACCCTCAGTCGAAGATTTGGTCGCTTTTTTAAATCTCATGTAAAATACTCACTGCTCGATTTGACTGCCAGACTTCGAGACGGCAAGAAATGCGTGGAAAAGAAAATGTCCCCTTCTCCGGCCTGGTCCCTGATGACATCAAATAACGGTTTTGCTGCGTATTCGCTTCCTCAGACCGATTGAATTTAGGAGACTTTTTCTCCTCGCACTGACGTTCTGACTTTATCAGTCTGCCGCCAGTTCTTGAATTGTCTCCCTAACAAACGACTGCTCTTCACAGTTCCAAGATGAACAGTTTACGGTTATTGAGTATTATTGAATTTTTGTCGAGACGCGTGAAACTGATTAATGCCTAGGAGATGCGTTTGGAGATCTTCTTCTAAGTTTTTTTTCTCCCTTCGAACTCTCCGTGTGCAAGTCTTACTCCTAAAATATTTGTCTTTGACAAAGAGAAGTGTGTGCTTTCTCCGTTCAGTTCGAAAGCCATCAATCGCTTAATAGGGGAGAGTATTTAGGCATGTCTGTAGATCCGATCTTCGATGTGTGGAGCACTTTTGCTTTTAATAACACAATTATTTATTCATAAATATTTAAATAATTCTTGACGTTCAACTTAGAAATATTTCTAACATTGAGAGAATTTCAGTAATAACAACTTGCATTACAACCAAATTTTATTAGGTTGACAGAGTGCAATTATATTTGGTTGATAATGGCATATCAAAATAAATTAAAACCCTCCATCACAAATAAAATAATTAGAAGTAATAAGTTTGCTTTGTCTTAAAAGAAAGGCTACGTACGTGTTTCCTAAAGAAAATTATTAATTCGCTTTGTCGTGTGCGATGGCTTGGTTTACACAACGAAGGCCTTGACGAGATAATGAGCTACATCGATAGGTTGGAGCAAGTCATATACCGCATGTTTTTAACGCAGTTTATTCGAATGAATTATCATAGTAACAAAGGACATTAAACTTCTGTTCCTTATGAGATGGTTGTTAGTGATTCCTTGTGGTAAGCATTTAATCTCATTCTGAATACCTCAACATCTGAGTCATCACATTTTGAATATTGATATTCGAGGTCATGCGCATGCAAATAGGTGTATTGATCTATTTTTTTTAAATTCTGAAGCAAGTAATTCAAAATTAATGTTAATAAATTTACTGATTTTAAAGAAAATACTCTCTTAACGCATGATCTTCTCGTTTGTTAATAGTAAACGCGGATTTTATGAACTATATTCATGACCACTTTCAAGACTATCAGTAAATGAAGTAAATCGTATAAATGGTTTGGTCGACTATATTGGAGTATTCTTCCATCCTGAATTCCTTTCTACCATTGTTTTATATAATTTGTTTTCCAAAGCTACATTAAACATTATTCTATGAATCTTGGACAAATTCTCGAGGAGCTCATTTTTCTGTAATCATTATAAACATTCACTTCATCATTCCGCAAAGTTTTCGAGTTGACAAAATATTTGAACTTCAGAAGAACGAATCAATCATTGAGCAGTAACAGGATTTCTACATCGAAGTAAAAAGTGTGCTGCTAATCTAAGCAGTTTTGGGGGCCCGTTGTTTAATATACTTCATTATTTGCCTTTAGGCAGTTTTTAGTCGAATTTGCTTGGCTTGCTTTGCATCAAAATTTTTGTTTTGGTGAGTTGAGTGAGGGTTTCTTTGAAACGATTGATGGGTCATCGATGTAATTTACTGCCCTGTCCTTCACCACTGCCTTCGATGTTTTAAGGCCAGTCTTTGTTTCTGAGCTCTTGAAAGAACCTGCAATAAATCCATGTCCTCATCTGTGTGGACTTTATAGTCGTTATCGAGAAAACTGCCGACCATTAGTCGAAAAATTACTCCTGGGCTCAACAAGGTCCTGTTATTTCGATAACTCATTAACTGCTATAGTACACGATTTATGTATAGTAATATACAGTTAAATCATTTGATTATGTATCCTTCTTTGGACTTAAGGTCATGTTTTAATGACCTCGAATCGCTTCTCATTGAGGATAACATATTCTTTTTCTCTTTGTTCCCCAGTTTTAAATTCTGTCCTAGAAGAAAGTTCTGATTTACTTTTTTTACTTTACTAAAATTACATTCTTATTAACATTTTCGTTCGTTTAATTTGTTTTCAACCAGTTTGATCTCGCAATCTTTAAGGTTTGAAGGTATTTCGTCTTTGCGGTTGTGCTCTCACTGTAACCTCGCCCACACATCGCACTGTAAGGAAGCCATGGCAAGTTCGTCTCTTTATTCTCAAGTCCCGCGACGCCGCTCCTGCCAATACCAAGCCGTCCATGGACCTGTAATTCCTTAGAGGTTCGCTAAGACCCATAACATTTTCGGCGGTTTTTCTATCGATAAATTCAGCGGAAATCCGCTTTGTCCTTGTTTTGAAGACAATCTTCTTAAAAATACAAAATTATTTAGTACGAACATATTTGGGATCCCCATAAATTTAGTCTTGGATATCAAACTTATTGAATTTAATGCCATTCAGTCCACAAAGGCTTTTGTTTTTGGTATTCTAAGCTCATTTTGTGTCATTCGGCTTGTGTATCGCATAACGTTACTTTATGGTTTAAAAGTGCTGAAACTTTTTTCCATTTTAGGTTTCCTAACATGACTCTAGCTAAACTTTCACCATTCAGTATCGTTTTTTAAAGTAAAGTTTAGCTGGAAGCTCGCTAGGACGAAACTTTCTTTTCTGTGATATCAGGTAAATTTTCTATAATTCTTCTGCGTCGAGAAGCAAAATCGGAATTATGCGCATAGCTTAAAGAAGTTTAAGCCATAACGCTTATCCGTAGCTGCAGCTCCTCGTTAGGTGGTCTGTGGCTGCATCTGAGCTCACCATCCGCTGCCGCCCGCAGCGTTATTAAACTTTCCTGACTTAAGCGACCTCGGCCGGTGTTGTTCAAGCTTCACTCACGAACATGAACAATCATTGAGCTCCAGGACATGATTTTAGGTGTCATGAACTATTATAAACCACTGTGTCGACAAGTAGATAAATAACTCGTATGTTCTATCACATCACTAGGTATTGCCTATTTACCTAGTGCCTATTTCTTCTACTTAATATTTCTAAATTGGCTCAGAAACTAAATCACAATGGCTCTCAAAAAATGCTTTCTTGCCTTAAGATTTACTTGACAACTAATAGTTTCTGACGATAAATACATTAATTTTAGTAAACATTAATCGTTAGCACTTAGATTTCATTTCTGCACAGAAAACTCTGCTCATCGGAAAATGTGATGCGTTACCATTATCATTTAATTATAGATACCAGTTAAATATTATCACTTACTCACAGATAGCAATAAAAGCAATAATTTCTTGAGCTTCAGCCTATCACGTAATCAATATTGTTTGAACCTTGGATCATTGAAACAGTGCCTTAATATTTTGAATGTATAAAGATTTTTTGTTTTGGCGACCCGAAACGCGAATAAAAAAATTGACATATAACCGTCATATTTTTAGTGCATTTTCTCAATTATGGAAAAAATTCCCTATTGTGCTCGTCATGTCCGTCCGTCTGCCTGTCCGTCCGTGACTTCACGTTTTCGTCGACGAGAAAATGCGCTCTCTGTCATTCACTGCAGTGAGTACTGAGTTATATTTTTATCTTGATACGACAATAATCCAACCTTTCCACGATTAAGGTAGTTGATGCGCTCGTCTAACGTTGCTCAACTTTCCACATGGAATCAATTCTTTGAGAAATATGTTTCAAGATTGTCGTATTTTCGCTAAAATTATGAACATAAGAAACCTAAATTTCAAGTGCATAGTTTCGTTGGATTATGTTATATATTACCAAGCATTGACAATAATCGTTTAATAGCAATGGAGCACCCAGGTAGAAGTAAAGAATGATGAATTTCATTCTTCATAACGCACAAGTGCATGAATAGCACGGATTACAGATAATCAGTGTTGCAAGCACAAGTTTATGGAAAGTGCCTACACGTATGTAATGAGTTTAAACTCACGTAGGTGTTCGATTGTTCGATTGTAATGCCAAAGGTTATGTATTCGTCATTAATAGGGGCCTATATTCCTCAAACAGTCTCAGAATATCAGCGCTTAATTTTCAGTGAGCGAGTTATGGAACTTCCACGACAATCGACTCCACGCCCTGCCTCATCTTTAAATTGTGGGCGCCAAAGCTTGAATTTCTACTTTTTAAGAGCTTGAACTGTCGAACCTTTGATCAATGCAACGATTATTTGTTGACCTCTTGAGATATCAGAAAATGTGGCATTTCCTTCTTTGCACAAATCCATCTTTTGTGCTGAAAACGAACAATTTTGGGATCTGGTATCGAAACCTCGTTTCAATGATGGTGGGGCGATCCGGCGTTAAATGGCCCATTGTCATACCTAATACGGTAATAATTCCCTGTGAGGCCATCAAACTTTAATTTACGGCATGCCAATGTCCTCACCTCTCTGAGCACCAGTAATGCTATCGAAATGTAGGCTTTATTGTCGATATGTGTTCTTTATGGAAATTCTGACGCATATTATGTCGTAATTCAATTTACACTATATCTTATAAAAATAATATTTGTAGTTTTTTATATTGTCTAATAGAGGGCTCTGATAGTTGATTTCTAATGAAATATTTCATGTTTATTGTGCATTCACTTGGTAGTTCTAAATTTTTATTTACTCGCAGCATACGTAACAATCGAATTATTCTCCATGTTAATATTCTAGTCAACTAATAAACTCAGTTTTCGTCTCCACTTCGCATTTGTGGGGATATATTTTACAGAACCAGCTATGTTTTTTTATTCGAGGTATAAACCCTAATTTTAATTGTTTGGGGAACAATAATTGTATTCAAATGCTGGTTACTCCTGCAGGATATTATTGCTCTTCATTATTATTCAAACCATAATCGATAGTGTTTTCTAAAATTTATTCCTGATTACCTCATCAACAATGAATAAATCAATGGAGCAAAAAATGAAAGTTATGTCGAATCAGCTGTGTGAACCCCATAAATTATAATCTTTCACTTCACATAACCTGTAGTGTTCTGCTTATTCCAATATTCCTACCCTTCGTGTTCTGCACTATTGCAATTTTGCGTCTGTTCACAAAATTTGTCATGCGTAAAGCTTCAATCTCTACTGATTGTTCAGTACTTTCTTCATTCATGGACACGATTTGATAACGAATTGTAAAAAAAGTATAATCTCGTAGCTGGTCTCGTCATCTGCCTTTAGACCAGCATGAAACGGAAATTAAGTAATTTTTGAATAAAAATTGTCGTCGGATATATGAACAAATTCGATTTACTGAAATTATTATTGAATTACCTGTTTTTTTTAACTTCCCTACCCTAGAAGATGTGACACGTATCCCAGTAAGCGTTCAACGTCGATGCCGTAGCACACAAAGCACGCCAGCCCTCTATTTCTGGTAGCTAGAGTGCTGAAATATTTTCTGATGCATAAACTTGCTGCAGATCAAGCCAGCAAACACAATCAAAGAACACAAACACGCGTCAAAGCAATAAAATTCTTATCCACTGCTTATTGGAGCGACGAAAGCTGCAGCGACGCTAGGCAAGAGAAAGGCAACACAGCTTGCTTCTGGAATCCCTCCAATTCATCAAAATGCACGTTTCAGCTTTACTGTGTTTATATTGACACGTGAATATTGTGCAGGAAAAATTCTACCATCATATGAAGGTATTTTAGTGCCGTCGAGGCTCGTATTCTTGTTTTATAATAAAATTAAATTTTAGTTATCACTGAAACTGATGAAACATTTTTTTATATAATTCGTTGTTGTAAGTTGTCAATTGAGAGAAATTTGAAATAAAATGTTCATTAAATTGCTGCTGTAACGGTATTACACAAACCTAACTCATTGCGTGAGAAGTTAAGCAAGCAGCTCACTTTTCTAGCTTGCTTAGTAACTACCCCACGCTGTTGGTGTCAGCGAAAATGTGACAATGAAATTCTTTAATGAAAAACACGATAATTTTCACGCATGAGAGGCGGAATGAAAATGTCGTCAATTATTTATCGAGAAATTATGCACTTTTCCATCTTTCAAGTTTCAAGTGCATATATGTGTTCAAATTTATATGTTTTACATCTTTCAAGTTTATTGAATTTAAGATGACAAACATTGACGCATATCAGTTCTCACGTGAAATGGATTGTGAGCTCACCTCTCTAGAAAATTAAAACAAATTAAACGACTAAAAAGTCATTAAATCAGGAACTCATCACTCTAAATCAGGTTATCTCATTTCTGAAAATTTCTTATGCTAAACGTGATTCGACATAAAGTCTTCGCCGAGGTTTCCATCTACAATATCGAAAGAATGAGAGGCTCTTAAAATGCAGTGCGAACTACAACAGCTTTAAAGCTCGTACCAGCAACCGAGCTTACGAGTTCACGTGGAAAAGAGAATAGTTACAGGTTAGGAAATTAGCATCAAAAGCTATTTCCTGTGAGGCGACTGAACCTAGCCAAATAAATATTTCCTTCTTCAAAGTCCTTTTGGAAGTACAAAATTAAAATGGTTAAAAAAGCATGAGTTCACGATCAAAAATGAGTGTGAAAAACGAGATTCGGGGAGGAAGAAGGTGAATCAGGTAGAAAATTCTACCGTATTTCCCTTCCATTATTCTGGCCAAAGTCGACTCCATATAACTATATTGATTTATCCCGCGTGATAAGTTTCAGTTGTAACTTTCCACCAAAAAGTTCCGGCTCTGTGTGCAGAAGTTGAGTGAATTATTGAATACCTGGTGCATAGGAATGGCCACTATGTTTATCTAGGCCTTGGGGTTCATCGAAGCCACCATATGAAGAATACTTGTGACCATATAATTTTTGAACTCGTTTGAAAAAAAGCTTATGCTTAAATTTATTTGTTAATATATGAATTCATAATGTTCTAGGATTTCGTTTGAACGGGATTTATTGCGTCGGCAGCGTCGTTTTTACGGTTTCGGTACCAGCTTGCGTAGCTGATGTGTATCAAGTTGCCCGGTACTCTCCTCATTCCATGTAGTCTTCTTTTTTACTTATTTGACTAAATTCGTCCTAAAGCTCATTTGAAGCTGTATCTCTTATTTGCTTTATTACGCAATTAAAAAATACCGAGTGCCAAAATTAGAATTGATAATCAAATAAACTTGGATATAACAGATTTGTGTCGCAGGTTGTTACAAGCTCGCACCCGATCTACAAGCGCGACTGAAACCTTGCGTATCGAATAAATTTGTTACTTACTCACTATATTTACAATATTTCTTTCATAGGTTCAGTAATTCCACAACGGCACCTACCCCTGACGTCCGCGATGTCGTTAACGTAGAAAATAAAAGCACAGTATAATTGCCAAATAAATAGTATTATTTAAGGTCTGTTTTGTGTCCATCTCAGCCCGATGCGACGTATCGTGCGCACACGGCAGCTGCGGTGCGTCGGGGTGCGAGTGCGCGCAAGGCTGGACGGGCGAGCGCTGCGAAGAGCGCTCCTGCGACGCCCGCTGCTCCGAACACGGCCAATGCCACAACGGCACCTGCATCTGCATCCAGGGCTGGAACGGCCGCCACTGCACCATCCGTATGTTATTGCAAGAAACTATATTATTTGATGTATATAAATGAACAAAGTTTGTATTAAATTCATACAATATCTCTCTATGTATGAACTCTGATCACCAGACGGACTAGCTGACTGCTCAGACTCTGACTGCTGCTGGGAGAGTGTGTGCAGTGACCACGTCATGTGCATGATGTCCAGCGACCCCGTGGACGTGTTGCTCACCAAACAACCGCCTACCGTCACCGCCTCTTTCTATCAGAGAGTCAAGTTCATTATTGAGGATCGGCAGGTCCAAGACTTCGCTCGCAAAGACCAGTTTGAAGAAAGGTACGTCCATTAATCTTATCCAATGGTCTTCATGTGATTAGGTTTGGTACTGAATTAAACTTTGAATGGTTTGTGTTTAGTTTGAAACGCTTTGCTCGAGTGTTAGTAATCAATCGAAACATGGACTCCTCTTCCGGATACGATGCTGGCTATGCTACTCTCTCGTTTATGAGTCTCATCGATACTTCACTTGTATTATTTTCTTGCTTATTTGTATTATTTCATTCGTCAGAACGTCAATTGTTTATTTTACCAGTCACTTACTTACTGCCATGACTGATGAACTGCCAACTTAATATCTTAACAAGAAATATTTTCTTACATTTATGCGCAATATTTAAATTGAAAAATCATTCCGAGATCTGTTTTGAAGAACGCGTTTTTTATCAGATTTTTGGACTAATTTTGACATTGCACATATAAATAAAGGGGAAATATGGGAGGGTATGCTCATCGTAGCCTGGACTCGTTTCTACCCCATTGCTTTTATCGTCTTCCAAGGCCGTAATTATTTTATATCTTTTGAGCTTCTTGCATCGATGTTTCCTTTCATGCGAGAATTTTTTTATGCCGTATTAATGATACATAATGTTCTACAGTACACGTTCATTGAAAGTGTCTTTGGAAGCGATAGACTTTTATTACTATTAATAATAAAATTATTATGATGCTCAACGGGTCCAAGCAGTGAAATTGTTCATTGTGTTGCCGTGAAATTTATTGTCAACGTTTAATATTGTTGATATTGGCATACACCATCTGACTAAGCTGATAAACTTTTTAAGCGTTCCACGGGAATCAAATTAATGGATTTAGTAAAACTGCTGTAAATTAAATGTAGCCTTTGAGTATTTGTGGTACAGTTTATTTTTTTCATATTTTGTGTTCCCTTTGGATGACGAAGTCACGAATGTTTGTTTGAAAAATGTTTATCGTGCTCCTCAACCGCAACCATCATCATCATCAAAAATAACTTCCTTTTCCTTCACTCCCATCCCGTCTTAGTCTCTTCTGGAGCTCCTTCGAGCCAAGGTGAGTAGTGCAGGCGCTCTCTGTTTGCCTTGTGCTAATTTCATCGTTTGCTTTAGAATTGCTGCTTCACTTAATTTTGACTTTATGAACTCATCTTATGAAATTAGTTTGCTTTTTAACACATTTAAAAACTTAATCCTGTTTTTCAATGATACATTTTTCGAATAAGATTAATATAGGTGGCATTCGTATTTGCTACTTGAGTTTTTTTTGCGAAAATACGTTTCGCAAAAATGTAAGATATGCGTGTACTGGTAGTTGCTGGTAAATCATTTTCACCATTCATTTGTGTTAATGGTTTTCACGAAGCTCGTCATATTTTTGTAGACAGATTATGTTGAATTATAGATAAATTTATTAAATTTGTTTACAAAAGGCGCACTCTTTACTGTTTACTTTACTTTACTGCAATATACATACTGTTGTAAATTCCAAGTTCACTGGTTAAATTTTCTCCAAGGTATCATTCGTATCATGAGAAATGAATAGGAAATTTATCAATACTTTTTGATACAATAAATAAGAAGTAAACATGAATTTGTATTTCCTAAATAGCGTGCATGCACAATATTTCCTAAATGAGTGTATTGTAGCAGCATTAGCGACTCCTTCGTTGGCGCTTAGCTCCATTCACCTACCCTATCTCATTAAGCATCACCTTCATTTATTTACTTCCTCCTCTTCTAATATGCTGCGCTGAGTTATTCCTTAATGTGCTGAGCATACTTTACTATTATTTCGACTGTTGTGCACGTTTTCATGAAGTAATTTAGGTTCAAGCTCTCATTCTAATGAGATACCTTCTGAGTGATTTACATGCCCTTGAGTTGAAATCTTCAAAAAATCTCATTATGTACGAAGTATGTTTTTTTAGTCAGTACTGTTTTGGAATTAAAAAAAGACCTGCAAAGTTATCGCAATATTTTTATTTTTACATGAAAGCCTGTACCTTAATATACTCTTCTACATAATTTCCGTGAAAATTGAGGCACTTGTCATAACGTGGCACCAGTTTTTGAATACCTTCCTGATAAAATTCTGCCGCCTGACTTGTTAACTACTGCATCATGAATGATGTTTGCAGTGTGATGCATCACACTGCATCAAATGCATCACACTACACTTTGAAGAAACACGTGGGCGGTCGGCGTCTTCAAGACGGTAACGAAGTCAAAACATTTGTTCAAAGACTGGTGCCACGTTATGGCAAATGCCTCAATGTTCACGGAAATATTGTATAAAAATAGATTGAGGTACAGGCTTTCATGTAAAAATAAAATTAGTGCGATATCTTTGCACGTCTTTTTTTAATTCCAAAACAGTACTGACTTGAAAAACATGCCTCGTAATTATAACGGCAGAGAATTTTACAAAGCAGTAACTGTAATACTTTTCATCTGCCAGCATTTCATAAACGAACCAAAAAAATACGAAACAATGGAAAACTTATTTTGCCAGGCCTTACTTTATTTGCTAATCAATAAACTCATAAATTTGGTCAAATTTTCCATTATAATAGTCAGTTTTTATATTCAATTCATATTCTGAAAGTCGTAGTTCATTTTCTGTAGGCATGAGTTACTTAAATATTTGTAGTCAAACCCGTAGAGTTCAATCCGCCAGCGATTTGGAGTTATTTCTAATTATCTCATCGTTGATAATAGGGGTAAGCATTGAGTTCCGCATTAGAATTAATAAAATAAAATCCGAGAATGCATCGTTCAATTCACTTGTGCCTTTGTTGACGACTAATCCACTAAAATACAGGAAAAAGGCAGATTTAATTCTTTGTTTTGTTCTATTTTTCAGTACCACTGTTAATTTTGATCTACTGTAATGAAGCGTTAAATGTCTATCATGGCATTGGCGCTTGCCTGCCTTTTTAGTTTTTATGTATTCAAGGAAAGATTTGACAATCAACCTGCTTAGTTACACGACCACGTAACTGGTACTTCCTATCAATTGCTTAAGTTTTTGTGGAATAGATTTATTTTCAAAAAGCTCCAATAAAATAATTGTTCATAATCCATTCTATTTCAATTATGCGAACACACTAGTAGATCATTTATAAGTATTAATAATCATTTAGAACTCTCGCACCCTATATTCTATCCTATTGTTTTTGCTATCTCAACGTTGCAGGCCAGGCGAAACCATTCGCCTTATTTAAAATGTGCCGATCAGTGGCCCTTTAAAATGCTTGGCAAAAATATGCGACATTTTAAGCATTCTCTTCACTCTCAGATGAAGTATAAGCGAACGTACTCGGTTATTTTTAAACATTTCTATTCGCACAAAAATTCACAAAAAAAAAATGAATTATTGGAAACCAGGGCTTGCAAAAACAATGTAGCGGTGGTCAATGCGAGACCCTAATCGCCTTGAGTCCAGCTCCGGCTCTCCCCTGTTCTGGTAGCCTATGCAAATATTGGTTAAAATATTCATTGAAGGTTGCATTTTAGTAGCATTTCCATGCAAGCTCCGAGTAGATTTGATACTGTGGGGAGACTAGCGCAATTAAGGTGGCAGGGGGAATGTTCCCGCCTATATGTGCATATCTCACGAACTCACCTCGTAAATTTTTTTATGTATTCCCTACTATATCATCGTTATATTTATTTCGTTTCCTGGTCCTAATCTCTTCAATTTATATTTGAATCGCGTTAAAAATTTTTGAGCTTTATATCAAACGCTTTTTTTTTTTTATTTAGCGTTTAGTTTAGTTGAGCGTTTAGTTAGTATTTTTTGTTTAGTTAGCGCTGAAATTCATCGCAAACTCAACAATTAAAGTTCATTTGTATACTATTTACAATAATACCAAAAATTTTCATTGGACTTGGATTTTCAGCGCAGCTGCTGTTCGTCTAATGTTTAGATATTTCTGAACATCATTATTTAAGCTTTATTGTGCTAAAGCCTCATCCGCGACTTCCTTGAACAGTTCCGTAATTTATTCTCGATCACTTAGCAATGCAGACACGAATCTTTCAACAATTTTCTGGAAGCACTAGAATTTTACGCCGTGTCCGAATACTTTATTCATGGTAGCTGTGTGACTCTAATGGATATAGTATCACAGCACGACGCTTCGCGTTTATTTTTAACTAAGCTTCAAAAAGTATTTCAAGATTAAAGTATCTTATATTATGCTAACTAATTCGACGTGCACGATGCTTGTCATGCCTCTAGTGATTTCCATTGTTGCATGATCTAACATTGTTTTTTTTCCGTTTGCTGTGATCCTTTGGATGAAATTTATAATCATTAGTGTGTTATAAATTACGAGGCGGAAATTGTTTAGACATTTTTCACTAAACCCTAAAATACGTTTGTGAATAATTTGTTTCTCAGGCATAACTTGTACTTACTTGCGGTGCCTGCCTTTAGACTTTGTATAAGTAATGATACTGATTTTTGGTTAGTTTACTGATGCTACTTTGGGGCCTTAAAAAGTGCTGGTTTCAATTTTTTTAGACCCTGAAACTGAAAAATATTTCATTTTAATGTGGGAACTAAATGATAAACTAACTTAGTCATGCTGAATATGTCTTATGTCTAAGTGTGCAAGATGGGACAAGAATGTGATGTTGGTCCTTTTGCTGCGTTGCAGACGCGTGTCGGTGATCAGAGGCCGCGTGGTGTCCGCTAACGGTGAAGGCATCGTCGGGGTGCGCACGAGCGTTGACAAGCAGTCCAGCAAGTACGGCATCACCGCTACACGCCGCGGCGGCTGGTCAGTGCCAAAAAGTGCTAATTTAAAAAAATAATCTTACTGAACTAAACGATCTATTGGACACTATTCATTCTAAATTTGAAATATTTGATTTTAATTGTTTACCTTAAAATTTGGTTCTCATCTTTGTTTATTTTAAGCCTGATTAACGATATTTTTCCAGGACAGAGATATACGACATGTGTAAGGTATTTGTGTCTAGCGTCAATTATTGTCCACTTGAAAAAAGGAATTTGTGTTATGGTTTCCAATTGACCGAAAGTTGCCTACCGTAAATGACCATTATATGGTTGCGCATTCATATGTGTCGAAAAGCTCATTTATACGAGAGCACTTGTTGCAGCAATTGTATCGTGCTAGTAATAACCGCCTATAGATATCTGGCCATTGACCTCATGACCTCGTGAACTGGCTGGCCGCTACAGGGGCTGGTAGTGAATGTAGCAACAAAATCATGCAGGTTTGGTGTTTCGTGTTCGGAGTAGAAAATTCGAGCAAATTTTCGAATACATACTCAGGTCACAGTAATATCCTGACTCAATTCAATCCTTCAAACTCGCACAAACGAACACTTTTTGCCAAATATACATTGTTGATTAGGAGCCAAAGTGGCTTTGTGCCAAAGCTTATTGGCCAGTAAAATAAGTTGTGTTAGATTGTGGCTGATAGTACTGGCACCCACAACTGGACCCTTATCAACATAGCTGTGGTTTACGCTGACAATGAGCTTAAATTAAACGGGAGAATAGTTCAGATACTTTAAATAAAGAACATCGTGTGCCACGTGATAGGTTCGACGTGTTGGTGAACGGCGGAGGAGCAGTAACGCTGCAGTTCCAGCGCGCTAACTTCCTCCCTTTAACCATCACGGTCCCAGCGCCATGGAACGACATCGTCGTGCTCGATCCCGTTAAACTCACACTCAAAAGCGAGGCGACCAAAGATGTCAGTGTTCTTGGTGAGTACTCGGCATAGGGCATGAATTAAATATGAGTTAGGAATTGAATTTTTTATCATCTGGACTTTTCGATGAAATCTCGACATGCTTTTTTGACTACAATTCTTCTGTTACTTTTAGAAGGGTCATACATGGATTAAAATTGAAACCTCAAATTGCGATCTGAATGGTACGCATAAGGAATTTTTGTACGATTTTCCATGTTTCTTGTCAGGTGTGGAAAGTTTGTGGCTGAACCCTTGCTTGGAACATGACCACAAGCTTCTGAGGCCGCAGGTGGTGGCAACCCACCTCCCCTACACAGTAGGCGGTATCCCCCAGAAGTCGGTTGTCTTCTCTGAAATGCAGGCGAGTATTCCATATTTTAAATCAGGATGTTATTTTCAACACTTGTGGCTCAGTAGTGCAATGCAAATGTTTATTGATCTAAAGTTTTAAGAATGAAACCGTACCGAAGATCATTCTTTATCAAATGAGCTTTCAGGTTTCTTGTGGCTAGGAAGTACTGGATTTTCAAGTCTGCATGAGTATCTCGTTAATCTAATTATTGTTCGGGATGCTTCTAACACCTTCATAACTTCACGAGCACCAATTCCCTAAATGATGACAACATAGTTATCGAGAGGAAAATTACTTTGATTTCTGAATTCTCAATCGATTCATTCTGCGTGTCTATTTCTCATTAAAAACTGTTTGACTCGTAGTTATTCTTTTCCTCGTATTAGCTTTTGGCAGCGCAGATTTTTGTTCCATGGCCAGTAATGTCACATCTGGTGTAATCAAACTGCTCACTCTCATGCGGTTGTTCACTAATGTCAATTGCAGGTGGTGCAGGAGTCAGTTCGAATACCGGGTAGTGAACTCCACTTGCTCTATCACTCCAACACAGCCTCGGGATATTTTTCACGCCTGCTACTTGAAATAACCCCACACACAGTCCCCGCTGCTCTCTCCAGAGTGCACCTCAAGGTAAAGAGTTCTATTGCTATTTTATTTTGCTGTTAGCTTGAAAATTTTTTTTAGTCATTTATTACCAGGATTTGATTTTTTAACGCAATTATCAATTTTGTTATGAGGTCCCTTCTTCAATGCATGACAGAATTAGAAAACGCTTGCGTTGATTCTGAAATATCTTCCCAATTCGTTTATGAAGCAGAAATCCATTTATTTTCAGTTTTTTTCTTAATCATGACTGTATCTGTAACCTCTATTGGAAGAGATATCATTTACCGGTTAACAGATCACAGTTGAAGGCTCCGTGTTCGAAAAGCTCTTCGAAGCAGACCCTAACATCACTTACACATTCACATGGAACAAACGCAACGTCTACAAGCAAAAAGTGAGACTATAATATTTTTCTCTTTTAATCATGTGTCTGATAAAACTACTGGTTCTATTTAAGTCAATATTCGTGTTGCAAGTTTTAGAGTTTCATATCCACTTTTATACTCTGTAAAACTTGCTTCGTTTGCATGATCCCAGCTATTTCTAAAATGGAAATATAAACTTATAATTATTACGACACATTATCCTTTGATTGCATGCAATCATTAGGTGAGATTTCCGACGATGACAAAATGTCTGTCTTTGTCGTCATCATTTGAAAGCGATGAGACTTAATATGACTACGTTAGTAGTCATTCTCTAACTTTGATGGTGCGCGGTAGTGGAAATATTCCAGTGCTGATATTGCAACTGAATTACATTTCCATAACCGTTAACAACTTCTAAAATTGAATACAAGCGTTTTAAACGGTCTAAAAATATTTCTTTACTGTCGAAATATTTCAGTAGCGGATATAAATTACTTGATTGCTTGGCTTGCAACTTACCAAGAATTAAAGGGAAAGGCAATCGAAAAAAATTCAACGTATAAACATGTCATATATGCTTTTTCTTCGCTTACAAGTTCTTAATATAATAGATTATCTATGATCACGTAAATATTTCGGAAGCTTTTATTAAAAAATTGCTTTTGAAAGCCGAGGCGATGACGAAACTTGAACCAGTCGTTACTTGACTTCATCCGTTAGAGCAATTTATAATACGAAGACATTTTTCATATGCTGTCAATTTTGCGCACAATCCAAATGCGTGTAATCCTTACAAAGGTAGTAAATTGATTTCCGCTTAGATATATGAATAGTGAAAATATTTAATTTAATAATACTCCACTGAACTGAAGAGAGTCAAGTAATAGGTGGGTGGGTGCAAAATTTAGGTGCAATAGGATTATATTCATAACCTGTAATTAAGTATTTGCACTGGATTGCGATAGAAAATGTACTTCTTTGTTTTATTGGATAAATTCAAAAAACAAAAAAATCTTTCCCACAATCTTTGTTGACTGACATGTATTGATGTAAAAATATTTTAAACTAATCCATCCCTTAGAATTATACCAATGAACACTTGACTTTATGAAATTTAGGAATAATAAGCGTTGATGGTTATTTCTGCTCATGAAAATTAAAAAATTATATATAATGGTATTGATTTTTATTTTTTATTCATATTTGCTTGATGTACATGAAGGTGTACGGCGTGTCTCTAGCCACGGTGTCCGTGGGTTACGAGTATCTAACTTGCCAGCAAATTGTATGGGAGACTCAAACAGCGAAGCTCCATGGATTTTACATGGAGATAGCAGACGTAGGAGGCTGGAACCTTGACATTCATCACATGTACAACTTTGAATCTGGTGAGCTAAGTCATCATCTTAGGATTTTCATGGAAATATTTACATTGTGTTATTGCACGTTTGTTCAAAATTCTTTCCCTAACTTACATTTCGGTAGTTTCACCCTGCATTTTCACCGTAAATAATCTGTTTCTATCAGCTTCATATGTAATAATTTATTATATAGTGCACGCTGACTGAAATTTTTGACAATCTACATCCCTAACTCTGTCACGGAATGTCGCGATGTAGGCGTGCTACAGCGAGGCGACGGCTCCATTCTGGACCTGAAGGACTTCCCCCGCCTGGTGACGCCCCTGGTGGGCACAGGGTCGAGACGCCCCGAGAGCTGCCATCACTGCTCAGGGCGAGCGGCCGACGCTCAGCTCCTCACACCCACGGCCCTAGCAGCCGCTCCCGACGGGTCTGTCTACGTCGGCGACTTTAACCTCATCCGCCGCATCACTAAAGACGGCAAAATCTACACCGTCATGGAACTAAGCTCCACCCAAGTGTCCTACAATTATCATATCACCGTTTCACCCGTTGACGGTCATGTCTTTGTAAGCGACTCGGAGAAGTACAAAGTTGTACGGGTTTTGTCTTTGGATGACATTACAGATCCCGCTACCAACTATGAAGACGTAGCTGGGAATGGGGCTCGTTGTATTCCAGGTGAGTTAACGATTTCGTTTACCAGGTAATCAGGTTTCAATTTATTGAAGGGAGAAATTTCCGGCTCTCTTTGCCAAACAATGATTTTTTATTATCATTTTTTCGTCGTGTGTATAGTTTGGAAATAGGGTTGATAGGCATGGAATTTTTGATGAATTTCATAAAAGATGATCTCCCGTCTTTTAAAAAATTTAATTTTGCTCTTTTTGTCTTCGAAATGTTAAACTTTTCAACTAATAGCACCCTCATCATCTCTAACTATCAGGTGATGAGCATCGTTGTGGTGACGATGGTCCTGCCATACTGGCTCGTCTCTACCACCCTAAAGGTCTCGCCATCGCCCCCGACAAGACGCTTTACATCGCAGACGGTCCCAACCTGCGCGTTGTGACCCCCGATAACATCATCCACACTCTGATCGGCCACCACGGTCACAAGACGCGCTGGCGGCACTTGCCTTGCTCGGGCGCCGTTCCTGTCACTCAAGTGGACCTACAGTGGCCCTCAAGCATTGCCCTCTCGCCGCTCGACGGCACACTTCACATTCTTGACGATCACGTTCTGCTGCAGGTGACATTCTTTAAAGAAAAAAGATGCCCAACCTGGGCAACCTCCATTATTGAATAAGGCTTTGTCAATTATATTATATCACAATAATTCTTATAATTTCCGATTATCTAATGTAAGCACATCTTCAATATAAAATGACAATTTTTTCTAAACTTATGCTACAATTTTTATTCTGCAAAACAAATTTAGCTTTAACATTTTAATCTGTTCAGTTCAGCGATAAAATTGACGTACGAATCTGAAAAGATTTTCATGACAAGCTTGCTCACTAAGTATTTTATTATCAGCATCTGGGTTTATTTTATTATCTGGGTCCACGCATCGCAACATTGAAAAGTTTAAATAATTCAACTAACATTTCGTTTCTTCTATTCTTAAGGTGACGAAAGATGGATCAGTGCGAGTAAGAGCTGGCAGTCCGTTACACTGCCAAGTGACCACAGACTTGCAGAGAATCGGTGAGCAAAGGCGTCGAATTACAAATATTTTTTAGGATTTTTTTCTCTGCACATTTGTAAGTAGATAAGTTAGCACACACTTTCATTCGTCATACGAGGAAGCAATTCCTTTCTTTTAATCCATTTACAAATTATATTTGAAAGATTTAAAATAAAAAGACTATTATTTTCTAACCTAAGTAATATCCAAAAAATATTAAAATTCCCCCATACTTATATGCATTTCAATATTTACGATACGCTTGTATTTACAAACTTATCGAAACGTTTTCAAGTTGCAGCAAAATTTCTACGTCCTCAAGTTGAAACCTATATTGAAGTGTTGAAAATATGTTTTGTTATTCTAACAAACCGTAACATCAGGCCTAACGGCTGATTGGCATGGCAGAGTTTGTGCGGATAATTACTCTGCAAGGTTGCAAATATAATATGAGTGTCATAATACACGCTAATTAAGGTCATGGAAATTTAAATTTGCATCAACCTCACAAGGTTAAAATAAGCAAGATTTCATGAGATGGGCTTATTTTATAATTATACTTTCCCTGTATTTTTAAAACAATGTATTCGTACCAGTCAACTCAGTCGTTGGTAAACGGACTTTAGCGTTCATTAAATGCGATATTCAGTAAAAAATAAATTTCACGGTACCAATTATGACCCGTTGCAGTTTTTAAATGAAGAATCTTTGAATATAATGCACGGAAATAATGTCAGTATCATTAGTCCACACACGTTGACCCTAGAACAAAATCAAAACTCTTCAAATTTAAATTTACTCTAATTATTTAATCTAATTATGCAATCTAATTCTTTCGTATATTGAGACATAACATCAAGAAATATACAGGTAAATCATTCATTTACTAAGCCATATCGTGTCTGGAAGTTTTTTGTTATGGTTACTGCAATTAGCACGCTCGATGATTTGAAAACTGTCATGCTTCCAAGCTTACGCAGTTTTTCTTAGCATTGCATGATAAACACAGTCTTCATAATGATTTATCCGAGTTAAAACATTAACTCAAGAATCAATACGATGTGTATTGTAATACAGGCCGTAATGATCGCGTAAAAATAGTAGTAACAAATTAAGACCTTGGAGAACTAACTAAGAATTAACGTAAGCTTGGAAGCATGACAGTTTTCATATCATCGCACGTGCTAATTGCAGTAACCATAACAAAAATTTTCAAACACGATGGGGCTAGTAAATGAATGATTTATCTGTATTTTTTTGATGTTATGTCTCAATATAGATGAAAGAATTGCAATCAATTCATGGTTTGTTCTAGATTAAATTTCAATTTGAAAACTTTTGATTTTAATCTAGGGTAAACGCTTGTGGACTAATTATACTGACATTATTACCGCGCAACACAGTACAATACTTCGAATTGATTAAATTGACTACAAAGCATCAAGTAAAAACCATGAATACTTACACCCTTTCTGAGCAGCAAGGTCAATTTCTCAAAATGAGAAGAAATAAACCGTTACCTCACAAACTGAACACAAATGAAACTCGATTTCACGAATGCATTTTAGCATGAAAGACTTTTGACACTAATGAAACACTTTGCATCTTCCCTTAGCAGACAGTACATGATTTGAATCGAATGCAATATCTTTGAAAGGTATTAAGATACTTTTTGTGCACCCTCAGTATATCATATTCACACAAAATAAGCCCAGACGATTTCCCGTTGAATGAAATCGATAGCTTACACAGGAATTCTGTCCCAGGAACTGTTACTGGCCTTGCGTTCGCCCCAACCGGAAATTTGTACATTGTTGAGGAGAAATCATCCGGTGTTCACAAAGTCTTGGAGTTGACTCCATCTGGGCAAATAAAGCCATTTGCTGGAGCAACTCTGCAAGATTGCGGTTGTTCGGCCATCACGAGCTGTAGCTGTGACAGGGACAAGGTACATATATCCAGTCGTCTCCTGCTACGAGCTGCGTCCGGCATCGCTGTTACTCCCGACGGTGTCGTCCATGTCGCTGACCAGGAGGCGCTGCGTGTCTATAGCCTCAGCCACTACCTGCCTTCTGATGACCAGAACGGCGACTATCAGGTGCTAATACTACATACTTTTTGTATGTCACTTCTGAACTTTGATTATGGTTGTTGTTAACTCTGAAGCATTTTGATCAAATAAGATACGAATTATAGCGGTTGTGTCATGAAATGAATTGAAAGGTAACAAAAAGTTTACACGAGACTTTAACATTGAACTTAATATTCCTCACTAAAGGTTGCAAATCCCCGGACGAACGAGATCTACACATTCAGTCGCCATGGCCATCACATTGAAACTCGTGACCTCATCACAGGCCGGATTCTATATTCTTTTCTCTACTCTAAAAATACTTCATTCGGCCGTCTCTCCACTGTCACCGACTCCTCGGGCAATAAAGTGGAATTTTTGCGGGATTATTCTTCTGCTGTCAGCCAGGTTCGTACCACGAGATGAAATATTTAATAATGTCACTTTTATGCCCGTGGAAAGCGAGATATTACGAGAAAGCTCACTCGTGCGAACGCTCTACAGGACTGTGCGCCGCCATGTTTTATCCGCCTCTTGAGAATAATGGTCGCGGAGCTTACGTGCCATCAAAATTATTGTAAATACCGGGAATAAAAATTGTTTCATTAATTTTCTTGATTGTAAGTTGTTTATGGATGTGGTTGTCTCTTTTTTATTAATGTTCAATGCTGGAATTCCTAGGACTTGGTGCGTCACAAACACGCACTCAAACTCTTCACAGTTCTTGAAATTGAATAATTAAAATGAAAAAATCAAAGTATTAGTATTGGCTTCCAAACCAGGGGAAGGATTATCATAATAAAAATGCATGCGCAATTTTCGATAATGATAACGATTATATTGGATTCGTTTGAGCATTGAAATTCTGAAATCCCTCTCTATTTCATCTATTAGTCTCGCTAAACAAAATCTGATAATAATAACAATAATTGGATCAATCTTCAGTCTCAAAATTCTTACAATCCTTCGAATGGCAATCAGTATTATTATTATTTATTCATTTGAAATTCTGTACATTTCCTTCGTATAACATATGCGAGCATTAGGCGTTTTTTAAAGCCTGCATTAGGCTATAAGTAACACAACATCGTTTTTTATGGTCTCGTGCAGGTCGAGAACACGCTTGGGGAGAAGTTTGCTGTTGAAATCAACCGCTTAGGCTTGATGGTGAAGTTTTCTGAGCGATCAGGACGACGTTACGACTTCACGTACAACGAAGAAACTGGTCTCCTCACTGCCGTCACTACGCCAGGTAAACTCGATCGATTAAACAACTCAATTGGTTGTATGAACTTAGTCGACTTGATGGAACTAAGTTAATTATCGCCATAAATGAATCGGATTATTTCTTGTCCGCTTTCTTCGCGCTAAGCTTCTTTAGAACTGTCGGCGAGGTGTCGAATTATTTATCATTATTTACTTGCACTCATATGGTTGAATTACCCATGCAGTCATAACTCCCGCGTCTATCACACCTCTTTATATATATACCGTATGATACGCAGTCTTCTCAAACAGTCATGCGTATAAGTTTGTTCTAAATATGTGTGCCCGCATTACCAAGCTTTAAGTTGCCATAACAATTAACTCTTAGCTTTTTACCCTCACAATTTATCCTCAGTCGTTTACCCTAATAATATTTACCCTTAGTCAGTTGTATTAAAATATACCCTTACAATTTAGCCTTACAATTTAGCAAGCCTTTTAAAGCTGAATCTCCTGCGTGTGTGGCCAGGCCGCCTGACGACCGTGTACCAGTACGACGGTGCGGGCCGCGTGGTGGCAGTCATCGCCCCCACAGGCTTCAGGACTCCCATTAGCTCGTGGATAAGCAACGCAGAGTCGGGCGGGGGCAACCTGCTAACTGTGGGCATCGGCACGACCACGGCCGTCGATGACACTCCTACGTATCCTGCACACACGCTATCCCTAACGCAGGACAGGAGGGCTTACTTCAACCATGGTTGGATATAAAGCAGTGGTGTAAAACGTTAACGTTTTTTGCTGAATATTAAAAACCTAAGTAGAACGTTAGATTAAACACACATAAAAATTCTGAAATTGGGATAGGTGTAAGGGATTAAACTGAAATTTTTTCCGTATGCTAAATTTTTATCAATCATTTTGCACTTCTTTCTACCGTCTTACCGGAACTTTCTACAGTCTCTCGCATGAAATTTTTTGTGTTTAGGTGACGTATCTTCGGCGATAACCTTGGCCAAAAACGGTAGTTGGCATCAAACATTACCGTGGGGAGGTTACTATTCGGGCGTGGCAACTTTTTCGAACCCTTTACTCGAGATGACCCTGGCCACGCAAGCTCGATTGTTCCCCTCCACGAAACAATTCTTGACAGCGGCGTCACAGTCGACCACTCCGAGCCTCCTGGACATCAGCTATGGAGTTATGGGTGACCATAGAGGAGCCGGAAGACACGTCGAAACCGTTATGCTGGTTAGTAGGCTTTCAGATCAAGGTTTGTATGCATTACATTTCAACACATACAAGTTTTGTATCAAGATAATTTATTGAATCAAAGCGTAAATTTTAGATAAAAAATAGTTAAAATTTCAATTATGTAAAGAAATTCAATTTCTTAGAACATTCAGACCCTCTACTAAATGTACTGTATAAAAATAGTGAAAGTGGAGTCCTTCAAGAAATATGCTTGTACTCGCCTAGGTGAATAGATCGCGGGTGATCAGCAGTCGCTGGGACGGGTCCATAAGGAGGGAGACGCTGAGGGACGGCAGTGGTGAGCCGCTGTTGCAGTCCAGCTTCAACACGCAACTGAAACCCACGATACTGTCCCCGGGCTACTCCATGCCACTCGTTAACTTCACTTACGACAGGTAGGTCTCTTCAATACTTATGACCGGTTGGTGTAGTCAATATTCAACTTGCAAACGATAAATGTAATAATCGTTGTACTTGGCAAAGGTCTGTGTAGTCAGTACTTCAATCACTAGAGCTCAGTGCATGCAAAGTATGATTATTTGTAGCACTGTTCGATTTTTAAACATTTAGAAATATTAATTTCAAATTCTGAGTCAAAATATTACTGTTCCCGGGGCAAAAGTGTTCAAGTTCGTAATTCCGTGTGGACGCGGACAACGCAAATTAATGAGAAAATACCGCCCCCTAACTCAGATTTGGAAGGCCCGCTCGTAAAACTTGGGCGCGGCTGAAAGAGGAATACGAGTACGATTCAAATGGGCTTCTTTCATCAGTAAGCACTGCCAGTGCTGCTGTTACAAGATACGCATTCTCCGAAGCTAAACTGGTAAGTACACATATCTGACTGTAAAGCCAGCAATAAGCGATTGTTATTAATAAGTCTTCAAAAAATTGTTACCACGTGAGCTAATGCTCATTTTCAGTTCAGCAAAGTAGTGTTCAAAACGCTGTGAATATTAGATATACATTTTCTGTAAATACGTTGCAATGTGGTAATTTGAGAGCTCTACCGCAGCCCTCTTCCATCACTCTGCCGTCTGGTCGATCATGGGAACTGAAGTATGACACTTACGGAGGACTTCAAGCCGTAAACACGCCCTCTGGCACGTCTCATATCTTTTCTGTTCAAGCATCTTTCTCTTCATTCGTATTCTCGTACACTCCGCCTGGCTCAAGCCATGCCTATCGCCAGCATCTAGACCCTGAAGGCAGGTTGCTTTTAACTGATTTCCCTGAATCTCCAGGGAAAATTTTATATACTTACACACCAACAAACCAGCTCGAAGAAATCGTTTCAGGAGATGGCATCACACAATTTGCATATGATAAAGACGGCTTACTTGCTGAGGCTGTACTTGAAGAAACAGATCTGGAATATAAGATGGATTACCTCTACAATGGTCGACTGTTGCAAGAGCACAGAATCGAATACAGCGCTCGATCCAGCCTCAGCAACGTGAAGTTTACTTTCGAGTACGACGATAACATGCGAATCACGAAGATGGATGGGAGAGTAGGAGGCCAATCCATCAGACCTCACCACCTGTCATACTCCCCACGCAACGGATCCCCCAGCACCATCGGTTCATTCTTAGTATCCAAGCCAGAGGTTAATATCACTACAATTCAGGACGGTACAGCCATCTTCACGCGACAGTTGGATAGCCATTTGAGAGTGTCTAGCACATCTTTAAATATTCACAATATGCAAGTTTTTAGACAAGACATTACGTACAACAGAGATGGGCGGATTGGCCAAGTTAATACATTTACAAGAAACTATCATACGAAACCTTATTCTAATTCTAAAAATTATACTTATGATGCTGATGGACAACTCATTTCTGTTGATGCCAAAGATTCGTGGAGTTTTGCTTACGACGCCAATGGCAATATGGTGTCCCTTACGTACTCCACTAACACCATCCCCATGAAGTACGATAGTCAAGATCGCATCGTTAATTTTGGTCAAGGTGTTTACAAATACAACTCACGAGGTGCAATCTCTCAAAATGCCCGAGAAGTTTCATATCAATACAATGCAAGAGGGTTACTCATCAGAGCTTCAAGACCTGGGCGCTTCAATATAAAATACCTGTATGACCATGACGACCGATTAATCGCCAGAAAAGATAATTTTGGGAACATCACGCAGTTCTTGTACCAAGATCCTCGAAACCCTGATCGGGTTACTCAGATCTACAACACGCGAGACGCTAGCCTTTTGTCTCTAGTTTATGACGACAGAGGACACCTCATCTTTGTCCAGGTGAGAATCTGTGAAAAATTAATTTTGTAGAATTTACTATTGAAATAAAACTCTGTAACAAAGAACTGAACCCTAAAATTTTCTTTCCGAAATTATACGATTTTCAATCGCTGTCGTGTTTCTTAGGTGCATCTCAATCAATATTACGTGGCGACCGACGAGAACGGTACGCCTATTATGATATTCAACCGCTACGGAGAAGTGGCAAGAGAAATCATGCGGTCACCTTACGGACACATCATATATGATTCCAACCCTTATCTCTACCTGCCCATATCTTATGCGGGTGGAATTCTTGACTCCACTACCGAACTCGTCCACATGTCCAGAGGACGCATCTACGATCCCTTGATAGGTAAGGGGCAATTGTTTCCCATTCAGCACTCCCAGAGCTACATATCTTCATGTATTGAATAATTTATTAAGAGGCAGAAATGGTATAGTTATGAATTATAATTTTAAGAAGTGCATTTTTGCGTAGTAAATCATACTCATTGATCATTTTTGTTTCATATACACCGCTTTGTAATTCTTTGACTCGTGGTTGAGTATATTTTGAGATGAAAGTATTCAATAGAAGTCAATAAACCTTGCACTTCAGGTTGCTTATAAACATTATATCAGTAAAGTAACCAAGTCGACATCAGTTTGATAACATTTGTAGCTTCAGTCTTCATTAGACATTTAAATGCTTGCAATGGGACCTCAGGTCTCTGGCTGTCTCCTAATTGGGAAAGCATACCATCCAGCGTAATGAGGCCATCGAGTTTGTCTCTGTACCGATTTAATGGCAATGATCCCATCAACATCGGACGGCCTAATTGGTCCACTTATGGTAAGTCAATTAACTTAGTCTCCTAATCGCAAAGTCTGCCACTGCATAACAATTTTCTCAGTGCGTTTGACGCGACAAAGTTTGAGCTGTTCAAGAATAATGACAATATATTAAACTTCATATAATGAATGTAGAAAGGACTTATTCATCACATGTTATCTCTTGAAGTTAGGTCTGTCACCGGGTTCACATTTTTTTAAATTATCAGAACGAAAGGACTGGCTGGCTTTGCTTGGCTACGACATGGAAAGTTTGGTGCCTACTCTTTCAAGGGCGACAAACTCCAACTTCAAAAGTTTAGAGTCTTGGACGACTATTCCTCACGTCTCAGTGATGCCAATCCGCCGAGGAACATCGCCTTACGAGGAGTTCGTTAAAGACGTGCCGTGTGTGTACGGACAAATTGAACTACTGCGAGAGGGTTTCTTGCATTCCACTCGCCTCGGAGTTCTTACGGAAACTAGTCTGCGCCGAGATTTCTGGCCTGACACCCACAAAGTCAGTGAAAAAAGTGGTCCGGCTGTTATATGATTTAAACTTGGTTTAAAATAGTTATAGTATAAATTTTAGTGATACGAAATGTAATTGAATACTTTAAAATTATATTTTCATGGCAAAAATTCATTTTTTATTACAGGTCGAATTTTCCAACATTCCTGGACCATTTGGTGAAGGTCTGTTGGTTTCTAACGTACAGGGAAGAGCGGTCGTGACAGCAACTGCAAGTGCAAATCCTATTTTCAGAGATGTCATCACTTCAGTGTTTAATAACTCACATTTGTTGGATGTCGTGTTGTCTTCGCATGGCACTTTTGTCTTCTACTTTGTGAAGGTTAGAGCTGAATGTTCTTGTGAATTACCTAATATAAATTTATGTAGAAAAAGTAACACTAAAATCTTAGATCACCTTTCATTTGTTAAAAATATTTAACTAGCAAAAACGCACCATTCGATTGTGCGAATATTAATTCTTAAAGAATTGGTCTCGATGCAGCGGCATGCGTCTAATAGATCTTGTCATGATTTACACTCGTAGGAGAACATGTGGCGTGTAAGCGAAGACATGACTCAGTTGAATCGGCTGGCGGGTGAGGTGAACATCACGAAGCCTTCAGACGAGGGAAGCGAGAAGTTCATGGACGTTAAGCTGCGTACAAATTATGCCGTGGTTCACGTGCGCTACGGCAGCAGTCCACAGCAAGAAAAGAAGAGGCTTCTTAAACACGCAAAAAAGGTAGGGCCTTTTTATTGAGTGTCCTCAAATTTAGTCAAATTAATACAACATACAGGCTATTATGACGCCCCGCTGTTGGGGCCTTGAGGTGCACTTCAACTTGCCTACATGACCGAATAGGCTTCGAATAGGCTATTCGACATGATCGAATAGGCTATCGAAAGTGAATCACTTTTTTTTTTGCACCACTTTCAGGCAAATTAACAAATTAAACAATGTGCTTTAACTGTAATTAGGAATAAACAGTCACGAACTTTAGCACCGTAAATTTGTGCTTTTTTATTTACGTGTTTGCTTCGAGGCTTTAACTTTAGTCTTGTGATCTGAGGCACTGCCTAGAGTATCGAATAAAAATAAATGACTAATGTAAATTCACATGATTACCAATGATGAGCAATTTTATAAAAATATTTCATAATAATTCTTGACAATTTGTATCCCCTACACTGCTATTGAAACACTGCAACATTGAAACTTTTTTGCTTCTGCGTATTATGCTTGAATTACGAGCAGTACATCGGTAATATTGAATCATTTTCCGTCATTCATCAATGTTTGCGCCTTTTATAAAATTATTGAAATGAATAAAATAAAATAAAAAAATTATTTTATCACCCAGCTGCCTATAATATAATAATTGGTAATTACTACATTAAGGTAAATGACATATCGACCAGCTTCTCACGTAATAATATTGCACATATACTAGCGTACACGTACTGAAAATAAAATGTTATACAAAGGGAATATCTTGTATGGACGATAAAAGGTCAAACAGAGACCAGCATAGAGCTAAACATAGTGGCACGAACAACTCACATATTTTGCTGTTGGTGGCACGAGCAACTCGCATATTTTGCTGTTGGTGGCAAGAGCAACTCATACATTTTGCTGTTGGTACACATCGCAGATGACGATCAGGAGAGCGTGGGCCCTAGAGAGGGAGTTGGTGGCGGCAGGGTTCAGTGGGCACGTTGAGTGGACGGCGGTGGAACAGGAGGAGCTGTTATCGAGGGGCTCAGTGAGCAGCTACACGGCCATGTATCTCCACTCCCCCGAGACCTACCCTCAGCTCCTCGATGATCCCACTAATATTCGCTTCTATAAGGTGCGTGGCACAACAAACCAATGAATTGCACCCTGCAGCGTGAATCTGATCCAAGCCAATATGTCTCTGAAAGGATACAAGGGATGATAGAAGTTATTTACCGTTTGTATCTCTACGAAAAAATTTCCTCTATCCACCATGATATATACTAGTGTGGTACATAATTTCAGCATTGAAGAAATAATCTATAAAGTCGACCATATGAATGTAATATATTTCATCAAAGTAAATAGAATATTTCTTGCGGTAATAATGTTTAGCAATAATAATCTGTTATTATCATTGTTAACGTACTTATTGTACTTGATAACGCAAAGGTAAAGATAAATATTTAGAGTTTTGAGTAAATTATGCATGACATGAAAATTTGTTGTGGACAGGATCCGTCGCGCATGCGCCGCAACTCCAGGTCGCATCGGTCCAGGAGATGTCGCAAGTGGTGGTGGGATGGGTTTTGCTAGTCCAAAATAATTATGTATAAGAATGGCATTGCTTTATTTTCTCCATCATAAAAACTACTTCCCGCCTCTTAATGTAGTTCAGGTAAGAATCAATGGTGTGTATCTATGATAAACATTTCATAAGATAAGAATATTCAACCTGGAATAATGTGTAAGTTTTGTTCCATTCATAAGGAAAATAAATAAAATGTACAGAGTACCATGAAAATAACTATTGCACATTATTCCTTAAGAACGACATATTTGTGATACGGAGCTGAGCTTTTCTGGTGCTATTTTTAAGCACAAAGATAATAATACCTAGCCAATTATTTAAAGTCTTCGGACAGGTTTCAAAGTAGCTACAATTTTAGTAGCCACAACTTGCCGACAAAAAAGTGACGAATTTCTGCTAAAGACCAAGTGCTGTTGCGAGCGTAGTGCATTTTTATCATACCTAATTGCTTAAATTTGAAGATACTCTTCTGAAAAGTTTTTTCCACTGTCGATATGTCATGATCACATTGGAAAGAGAATCAAATTTAAAATATGCTACTCATAGCGATTCGTTTTGCCTGATTTTCAAATTTGTATAAGTGATTTAAATCTCCGGCCAAGTGAGTGAACTTTTTTTGTCCTTTTTAGCATATTTGTAAAAAATAGAAGCCTGCAATATATACGATTTTATCATTGAAAAATTGCAAGCCGATACTTGCCCTCAATTTTTGTAAACTTTAAGTCAAGTAATTGGTTTGCTTTCAAATTTAAAATCGCGTATTTTAGCTACTAATATCATGGGTATAACATACGATATAAATTTCATTAAACATTTTTCAAATGCATGCGAAAACTTACTCTTTTTACAAAATCTCTATTTTAGTGTATTTCTGAAGAATATTTCTTGCGGCAAGTTTTAAAATGCGACATAATAGTGTGAATATTCGTATAGAATCCAGCGTAACTTACGGTTTTGAAGACCATAATAAAAATTGGTGATGACGTAATCGGTATGATTCATTGAACAAAAAATTCATATTAAAATTACATGAAGATTTTTAGAAAGTAGATACCAACACAAAGAAAGAAAATAAAGAGAACAAGTAACCAATCATTTAATTATTATGATTAATTTCACGAGCATTCGAATAAATTTCACAATGTTCAGAGTTGAGCATTTATGGAATGTTATTTATTGATTTACAATATCATCTTGTTCCACCCTAGTTTAACTTTTTAACTTATCAATCAACTCGTGGTCCTTCCCTTCAAGTGATCTTTGTACATACTCATTTTAGAAAGCGTAGACAATATTTGTATTAAGTCAAAGGCATAAGTGATGTACCTTCTCATTAGATGAAAAGTTGAGCATCGTCTTCAAAGAAGATCAAGTAACTTTTTTTATCGCCAGTAACTTTTTTCAGTCGCCTTTAGACCATACAACGAAGTGAGTTGCTCTCGCAGTCGTTTTCTATCATGCAAAAACCTAAGTTATAACTTTATAAGTGACGTATGGCCATCACACTTTACCATTTATTACTCTCCAACGAAGTGAAATTAAGTATTTAGCGCCAGTAGTTTATGTTAATAAGTATATTTCGTCATGAAGGGTATTTTCTCCGCTTGCGTTAATTCGATGAGTATCACAGATTTCACTACAACATTTTCGATTGAAATAGTGTCAAATTAATGATATTATTAGTAAAATGAATTTATAGTACATTCTTTACACATAATGTTAGAGTTATCATTCAGTTTCGTTGATTATTTTGGAATTTAATTGGAATTTTGTGTGTTCATCGCAATAAGAATTCAGTATAACGTCATGCCAGTTGTCCTGCTGAAGATGCTTGATATTCTACAAACTCCTACATGCTTAGAGATCCCATTCGCACTTTCCCCATAAATTTGTAGAAAACAACCGTCCTGTTCATCACTTAGAAGATTTTTCATCGTAAATCTTTTAAATTGTGTTTACACACAATCAAATTTTCGATCGTTGCAGGCGATAGCAATAAGCAAATGATAGAGATGCCATATATGTATTTCAAACATCGAACGCTCGATGACAGCTTTTGCGTAATACGGAAAGTAGCACCCTTTTATAATAATTATACTTGTGTAATTTAAGATGTCCCTTAGTAATAAGATTAAAACGTTCCTTAGATTTAGATGCCTATTTAGAATTACTATAATCTTAGCGATGCGGATAGGTTTCCTCTCAAACGACTCTGTATAAAAGTTTATGATTACGAATATTGTCTTTTGTATGACGATCTCAATGTGCCATTACCGTTGCTGTTCTTTTGTAAGGCGCGCAGATTGAAAGAAAGCGAAGATGTTCTCTAAGTGACATCTGACCTCCCGTTACGTGACGTGGTTTTGTACTCGGCGTAAACTTTTTTCAACTTTTTTCTAACTGTTCTCATGCCTATTGGCTAGTAGACATGTATAATATAAAACTGCAATGATACGTACAATTCTCTTCGATGATAATTTGGATTCCTTGAATCAATTGGCATTTTTATGATTTCTCAAATTTATGTAACGCTGTTGTGTCATAACCATCAAATGATCTGTGACACGTTTGATAAAATTTAGTGAAAATTTTGTATGTACACATCGAGCTATTGGACGATACATTTGTATTACCTTTTGGTTAAAATATGAGAATCGAAGATAATTTGGCTGTCAAGCAATAAACATTAAATTCAGCTAAAACAAACCAGATAACTTTTCAATCAAGCCTTTATATTTTAATTTTTAATATCTTTATGTATTATCACGTCGATGATTATATTATCACTATTGTAAGAGCGAGCAGTTGTTTTATGACGTGTACATATGCATATACTATTTAGTTAATTTATGCTAATGCTGTTGCCTTCCTATTCATATTTATCTGTTCTCATATTCTTTCACATAAATTCAAGACAATAATAGCTACATATTTTCACGAGTATTCAAGTTTCCAGTCTCTTGAAATTTACGCAATCAGTTTTATCAGTCTTTATTTTTTTGGAAGTTTTCTCTCCTTGTCTTCCAGTCAGGGAACCTTAAACTTGACTTGGTACGTTCTTTACAGAACTGTTCATTAATGCAGAAATCAGGCCGATATGATTCACCGAAATTAAATTTCAGAGCTGCATCGTAAGATTTATGTCAACAAATTTTATCAAAGTTTTGCAGGGTTATTTGAAATTTTTAGAAGGTTTCTTAGTCGATGTTTGTCGCAAGTCATAAACATAAGAGGTAGAACGGTCTGGTGACGATCAAGTTGAACCTCGAAAAAGCCCTATTTTTCTTATACGTATGTAAGTAATGTGTGTTCGTGACCTAAGCTGTGTATTTCGTCTGTCTGTCCTTTATTTCATTATAATTGGCCCTGAATGTTTTATACATGAAAATGTTTCTATTTAAATAAAGTATTTTCAATATCAGAATGTTTTCTATCCGACCAAAGTTCATCGTTGATTTGACGGTTCTTTCAAATTCGAACTAAGAAGGAATGAGGACTGTCATTTTTATAACAGTTCAACTACAGTTTATCCCCAGCTAGATGTAGCATTTTTTACAATTGAATTGCTCGAACAGCCAAAATAGCCGAGGCTAATCAATGATGATCCTTCCTTGCCACGCAATACGCGCGATCCTATAACAATGAGAAGCACCTCATTGTAAATATACGTAAACAGGTAAATATTTACAACACGTAAAACACGTAAACACGTTATTCCTTCCTATTGAATTTTAATACAAATTTGATAAAGTATAAATTTGTGTTAATTGTATCAATTACGGCGTTTAATTTTAATGTGTATGAACATAATCATTATCTCAGTATCCATATCTATATCATTATATCCCGTATTCTATTTACCGCATTTGAAAACTTTTCGTTAAGCAAGCAAACCTTTCTTTTCCTCAATCTTCAGATACAATTCATAAAACAATGTCAAGAACTTTTAAGCAAGCAAGCCTTTCTTTTCCTCAATCTTCAGATACAATTCATAAAACAATGTCAAGAACTTTTCCAATATCATAACATTTCTTTCGCTTTCTACTTCACAAACCCATGCATCAAAAGAGAAACTAAGTCTGCAGCTCGCCACGTATCAATGGTCGTAACTCCTGTTATTTGCTTTAAGCGCCCGCCGCTAAAGAACGACACTTAGAAGGCGCTTGTAATCCCCCTGCTACAGAATCCCCCTACATCACCTGGCGTCATTAAATGCGCATAATGACGGCCATTGTATCATCATTACACGAGAGAAAAAACGCATGCCACTTTTAGGCGGCAGAGCAGAGTGGCGGAGCGGTGACACGAGCGGCTCTCGACGAGGGAAAGGGGAGTCACAATAGCGACAATTGAGCCTTGAGTCGAGAAAACACGCACGCTGAATGATGATACAGGCGAAGAAGAAGAAGAGGATATGGCACTTCAAGGGTGGACTATTACTCGAGAATTTCAAGTGTTGCTTTATTTCTAATAATAATTAGAAATCAGATAAATTTAATTGAGCGTTACTATGTGCAGACTGGATATACGAGCCAGTCATGACCGGACTCTTGATTTGTCCTTGTAAACTGTGCAATGCTGACTGGAAATACACGAAAATATAGGTTCAAAATTTAAACATGAATATTTACTTACTACAGTTGCTATATATATACAGTACAAATTTGCTATATATTGTCTGAAATTTACTTAAACGCATCTGAAATGCATATTTAAGGAACAAAAAACAAGGTCGCCCAGATTCATTAGAGAGGACACGTAAATAACTAATCCCATGCTTCTGGTTCAAGCGTTTTAATTTTGGAAACAACAATTTTCGGAAACACTGCTCAAAAAAATGAAAATTGATGAATTTCCAGTTGAACAGGTGTTACAACAGTAATTTCAGCTCGTTCGCTATACATTTATCAAATCAATCTGCTGAAGTCCAATGCATGGCGCGCGTGTAATGGCACAATTATAATACAACAACCATCCACTCAGTCTGAGAAGCGAGAGTGGTCGAGTGAAGACAGGGTGGTCAAAATCGGCGAGGTCGCCGGGCTGTCAAGTGCACTGCATATGGAGCAGTGAGTTGCTTGTTCGAGACCCGAGCCAAGCTGTGAATATTCTGCGACGTTTAGACGTCGATTTTGAACGCCACAGAATTTTACAGGCCTATGACCCAATCTACCACGCTGACATCGCTACAATAAGACTTCAAGGTTTGATTGGGTTTGATTTGGGATACAATCACTTCCATATTGAACTGATATTTTGCGGGAATAATTTGGCATACCTTTGAAAAATATTTCAGTGCAAAATGATTGGTGATGATTCTAGTGTTCTACTATTTCTACTATATTTACTATTAGTTCTACTACCAAATATTTCTCCGGCAACTTACAAGCTGCTACTGGTATTGATGCTACGAGTTATTAGCAGCTGCATTCCAGTTTTTTTTTCATTGACGGTAGAAGTAATTTTTTAGAGCTATAAAACGCAATTCCTGGACTAGAGTGAAGCAAATTCTCGGTAGAGTCTCGGCTTTGAAAAGCACAACCTGGATCTAAGACGTGGAATCAATAAGAACACGAAATGTGTTTCAGAGCTGCTTGACATATCGGATTCTTCACAGACAAAATTCAAAAGAATCACCGAAGTTTGCATCTTATTTCAATGCTCAACATGCCTAAAATTTTTTACAATACTTAGAATCTGCAATGAAGCTTTATTTTCAGTGAGAATAAATTGGTGTGCATTTTTGTTAAATTTTTTTGCATGCGTCTGTGAAAAACCGATGAACTGACCAAAATAAATTTATTACTCAGTATGCTAATCTAAGCGGGAGGACTAAAATAGCAAGCTGCTAAAACAATTAAAGTATTATACTACGTATAGTTTTTGTACCGATATCATTGAACATTACAGATTTCTATTTGATCGAAAAATTTACGCTCTCAAATTCCACTTTCTGAAGTCCAGTCGTGTATTACATGACACAGCAGAAGCCAGTCCCCACGCGGTCTCCCTCGCGACAAACTCCTTCAATTTCTCGTACCTGAGTTGCTTTAGACTTCTCGTACAATGTACCTCCAACGTCCCCTCCCATCCGGCGCAAATGAGCTCGTGATTAGCATTGCAATTTAATAAAGCTACTCCTATCTCGATTTAATAAAGTTAGCTCGTTAGCTTTGCATTTGAAGTCAACGTATTCCGGGCAGGCGTTATGTCGGACGGAGCAGGCGTTGCATGTGTCGCGCTGGCACGCAGCCTCGAGACGACATCTTAATGGATTTTCTAATGGAGGCATACAAGAGGTACAGAGAGGAGCGTCACCAGGAACCTGGAACACCTTTGACATATGATCGCAAGGCCTTTAATTACCCTGGCATGCGACTGCTGCTCAACCCGTGAGAATGCGGCTGCTCGGACTGGATAATCAGAATGCATCAAATTGAAGAACATAATAACGCTTCTCTTGCTTTTAAGGTAGACAATTATTAGCTGAATTTATCCGAATTCAGATTGATGAATATGCAAACTCAAGTATTACTTATGCAAACTTTTGTTTTTGCTGTAAATAGTAAATAACTGACAAAGGTAAAATTACACAATAGTATTTTACATCAAATGTCAGCGAACATGTTCATAATAACGGTAAAAATTACTGAATTCAGTTAACTTTATGAGTTTTTTCATACACCAAAATAACACTCCCTATTTCGGATTTTGTCTTCAAATAAAAATCGCTATTTTTCTTGCGAAACTCTCCAGCACATTACTCAAATAGTATACGGTAACATTACGAATAAAAGAGGAGCGATGATTTTAAATACTCATTTTACTCATTTGAACACTTAAAACAGGTATTGACTCTAAAAGTGTTTCAAATAAACTTGAATCAACGCAAAGGAGCAAGATCAATATCGCTTCAACCATTCCTAGTATTATTTCCTATGAAATTTATTATCTAAACTATAGATGATCTGAATGATACATCTAGCCAGATATATGTCAAGATCTGTATCGTTTTATTGCAAGATCTATATCGTGCTCACCCAGTATGGTATGAATACACATTTAGAAATAACGGCAGCGATATCGCAGAGGAGCTCAGAGAAATCTCGCCAATCGATCATCAGGCGTTCGATCGTAAATTGCTTAACTCGTGGCCATCGAAGTGATAGCTTCGGTGCGACATTTGATGGCAATTTCTGCTAGTCGGCTGGCAGGCGCTGCAATATTTCTCAAGGTTTTTGGGAAGTGCCAACACGTAGTTTGAAGTGACGTACCTCGTGGCAAATTGGTCGCGTACGGGGACATAACGTGACACGATCTGACGCATCTCAATGCCTCCACGGACTCCAGGGGCCATACTTTCAAAACTCGCTAAGTAAACGTAAGTACTTACGCTCAATTTTCTTGTCTATGATTGGTGGATTTTGCTTGAAAGGCCGTCAATGATTGGCTGATGAACTTATGATCACTTAACTTTTTTTTTAAGTATAGGCCCTGCTGTCCATCTACATCGGTCTTCGGGCTAACGATCGGTACTCATTTCACTGCCCCGGCCGTCACCAAGATTCGAACATTTTTTTAATCATTATCTAATAAATGCCATCACACTTAAGGTAAATTCCAGATATCTGCTCAGATAACTTCATGAGGGCGAGTACGATAGTTTTATGGATTGTATTCACCTATAGATGAGCTTCTTACTAGCCTCCGCACATTGACAGTTTAGGGATGCGAGACTGCGTTCTGCTCATGACTAGTCACCCAATGTTCAACCAACGCAAAAGAATGAGCATGAACGTGTCATACAACAATTTCATGAAGATTTTGCATACAAAATCTAAACTAAAGTCAAGGCAGAATAAATCTGAAGCCAGGACATAAGAGCTGATTTCAAGTACCTATATTCTTATGCCAGCTGTGCAGCGCGATATTAACAAGACGTCGTTTCTAGGCATTCCGTCGACAACTCCTTGTTCGGATCACAGCATGAAAATGGAAATTGAAATAGTTTGAACATCAAAACAAATTTCAATTAGTAAGTTGGTAGTTTCTTTCCTAAATGCGAATTGTTTCTTTCTTTGTGTGTGCCAAGTCAAGCGCACACTTTTCCCTTTAACGCTCGGACGCGCGTCTTCAAACTTGCAGCGTGATCTAATTGCTGCCGCTCTTCACACTAACTTCATTACGCTCCGCCTCACGTCAAGTTTGTTGTCACTGAAGAACTCTGCGAGCTTCTACGGAAAAATTTACAACATGTAACATTCACTAAAAGATTTGCAGTAAAATATGGGTTATATTGGTATCAGCGGGGATAATTGACATACTTGGCAAAGAATGAGTACTCTATTAAAAAATATAACTCAGTACTCACTGCA